AGTGCAGGGTGTGCAAAATGGGGAAAGGGGCTCAAAAGGTGCAAGTTCCCAGGTGTAAAGTGAGTAAGTCATGGGGACGCAATGCACAGCATGGTGACTACAGTTAAAATACTGTGCTGCATCTTTGAAAGTGGCTGGGATAACAGATCTTGAAAGTTCTCATCCTGAGAAAAAAATTGTAATTATGTATGGTGATGAATGCTGACTGCATGTACGTAATCATTTTGCAAAATATACAAATATTTATGTACAAATCATTACATTGTATGCCTGAAAATAATGTCGATTAACCAACATTTAAAAAAAAAAGTGTTACACTAAATGATTAAGCAAATATTCTGGAGAAATCAGTGCGCTTCATCTACTGTTGTACTGAATACATTATTATATGTTGTAACTGGTTAATTTATGGCTGCAGTTGGACATTCTAGAAATTTAATCTTTTTAACCAATATTTAAGCCCCTGCAAAGGGCAGGATGTGGTCCATGAGCATTACAAAGAGCAATAATAGTCCTTGCCCTTAGAAAATGCAAATTACTTGAGTCTATAAAAGAATTCATATCAAGCACTGGCTGGTGGGCCTTCATGGGTTGAGCATCGTCCTGTGCACCAAAAGGTCACCAGTTCGATCACTCGTCAGGCACATGCCCAGGTTGTGGGTTTGGTCCCCGGTTGGCAGGAGGCAGCCAACCAATGTTTCTCTTTCACATTGGTGTTTGTTTCTCTCTCTTCTTCTCTCTAAAAATCAGTAAAAAAATATTTTTTAAAACAAGAGTTCACATAAAAATGCAATGAGAACCCTTTGTAAATTATATAGTTTGCTAACCACAATGCTGTACACCTGAAACTAATACAAAAAAAAAAATGAATATAAATGTAATAGAAAAAAATTAAGAATTTAAACAAAGAAAAAAGGAAGTGCAGTCAATGTCCAAGCCCGAATGAACTAGAAGCTCACAATTGGGGTGCAGAAGCACCCTGGAGGACTCTCGGCCGCAAGCACACTTCTTGTCAGGTGCAGAAGCCGATTGAGTGGGGCTAGGGAAACTGGTCACGGAAGAACAGTGTCTGAATTGAGACTTGCTCAAGTGAGAGGTGCAGTTACATCTCTTAAGAGTAGACGAGAACATGTAAGTAGATTTTAAAAAGTATGAACAAAAAGCCAGGAGAAAGAAGGAAGGGCCTTGAGGACATTATGCTACGTGAAATAAGCCAGACAGAGGAAGACAAGCACTGCTTGGTATCCTGTGTGGAATCTACAAGCAAAGCAAAGCCAAACTCACAGAAAGAGAGCAGCAAAGTGGCTGCCGGGGACTGGGGGCTGGGGAAACAGGAAGAGCTTGGTAAAGGGCACACAAGATGAATAGGATCTGAGGAGCTAATGTAAAACATGGTGACTACAGCTGATAACACTGTTATTGTACAACTGAAATTTGCCAAGAGAGCAGACCCAGAGATGTGGAAGTACAGACTGACAACCCTCAGAAGAGGGGGTGGTGGGGGGAAGGGAAGAGATAAACCACAGAACTTATATGCATGTACGCATAACCGATGGACATGGACGACAAAGCCGGGGACGGGGAGGAGGCTGTCAATGGGGTAAAAAAGAAACATCTGTAACAAAAATAAAATAAAATAATTAAAAAAATATATAAGGTGATGAATATGTTAACTAAAGGCAGGGAATCTTTTCACAACAAACACATCTATCAAAGCATGATGTATACTTTAAATCTTATCGTTTTATGTTTATTATACCTCAGTAAGGCTGGGGAAACACACACACACACAGACATGAACAAAAACATAGATTACATGGGGAATGTGAGAAGGTGTGCGGCCATGGACCAGTTGGCTGGCACCCGGCATAGCAGGACGAGGCTCTGAATCGAAGCAGAGTATGAAGTCAGGAACGTGCCACCAAGGGGACCAGTAGGTAAGGTGGCAAGAGCTCTGACATGTGCTGACTGAACAGAGCTCAAGCATATTAAATGAGGTAGCAGATGAAAAGGACTTGCCCCAATGCCTGTCACTGAGTAAATACTCAAGGTAAGTCTAGGTCATTAGTAGTTACTGAGCTGAGCTTTGCAGGATGAACTGGACATCTCTAGCCGCCTCCCACCAAACATACGGAACACTGACTCTTCATTCCTTTCTCCGCTCCAAGGTCCCCAGCACACAGTGATAACGCCATGTAACTGTCCAAGTCAGGAGCCCCTCTTCCCGTCTCCATCACCAACCAAGCCCTGCGGTTCCCGCTTCCACAGTGGATTTCCTGCCAATCTGCTGTCCTCCATCTTCCTGCATCTCACCTAGATGTATGCAATGGTTTCCTATCCGTATTTCTCTGTTTTTGCTAGCCACAATCTATTTTCAACTCATAATGATCCTTTAAAGTACAGCATCACCCTCTGCTTTCTTAAAAGATCCTACTGGCTTCCCACTAATTTCACCCACATTTTCTCCATGGCTTGCAGGACCCCACCCTCGTACATTTCACTTTCCCTTGGCTGACCAACGTCGTTCTAGACAGGATGCTCTTCCCACCGCATGTGCTACTTCCTGCCTCCAGTGTTAGCCCACTCACTGGCCCCCTGCCCTGCTGTCTGCTTGTTCTCATTCCACGGGCGCAGCTTTAACATCACCCTCTCTTTCTGAGCATCTAATCTAACCTGAAGCACATCCCCTTCTTTGCCCGCACTCCCCCTTAATGGGTTATTCTGTCCATCGTTCTGCCTTTGACCTCACAGTAAAAAGCTGAATTTGAAATTATACTTATAATTTTGTATTTGCTTGTTTAGTGCCTATGCGGGAAGCTTTCAGGTGCAGATATTAAAATGCCAACTCAAAAGGTCTTACACAAATAAGGACCTTTTATTATCTCCCTCGTGGAAATGCAGAGGTTGGTGGATTCAGCAGGCATGCCTTCCGGTGCTCGCCTCGACTCTGAGCTATGACCAAATGAATAGGGTGCGTTTATGACTGTGGTAGGACTAATGAGAAATGCAACTCTAGCAGGGAGGCTAACTCTGAGGATCACATTCACCGCTACACAATGAGGACGGGTAAACACCAGGATATCCACTTACATCTCTGCACTCGGCGAGGGAAAGGATCCCTCTGCTTCGTTCATTCCTGTGGACTCAGCTCCGAGCAGTCCTGACATGTAGTGGGAGCTCAGTATATATGAATAAAGGAAGAATTGGAGAAGAGTCTAGGAACCAGCTGGAGGTCGCTGACTCGGTGGAACATACAGACAGCTGACAAACTAGTCCCTCCAAGAGGAAAGGGACAGAAGAGTGTGAGTGATACTGTTTACCCAAAGACGCTGGACTTGGCCATTGACCAGACGTGAAATGAAGAAGGGAAATGAGAGGGAGACGCAGAAGTCCCAAACAGTGCTGAGCCTGGAATCAGAGACATTGGTTTTATCTCCTGGCGTCCTTGCAAGTACTAAACAGGGGGCTGAGGACAGAACTTGAAGGCACACATTCTCAAATGAGGGGGATGCTGACCACAAAGGGGGTGAAAGCTAATTCTTGGGGGAGGAAAATAAATCAGCTCTTACAATGGTTCATAGCCCTTCAAAGCTCCACAAAATCTTATCCCCTAGTATTTAATTTCTCTTTTTAGGATGAATTTAAATTAAATACATGTTTTTAAAAGGTTAAGAAACAATGAATTCAAGAACGGAGAAGATGCCTTATGAGCAGTTTAGGGCTGAGGGAGGGAGGATGGAGGAAATAAACAGAAAAAGCTCAAATGAATATACTCTATATTGACACACAACTTCGCTATTAAACAGGTCATCTTATGCAGTTATAAAGTCATAGAAATAGATCTTTCATCTTGATTCTTTTTTCCTGAAAATTTATAAAAAAATTCTGAATATGACATTGTGCTGTAGCCAGGAAAATCACCACTCTTCTGCTCAGAAACAGACCAGAAAGGACACAGATGAGACAGGGCTGGCCTGTTTTGATTATTCTACCAGATATACATTTTTAAAAGTGAATCATTGGAGCAGCCCACTGCCAAAGGGAAGCAAGCTTAAGTAATCTTCCCAGACTTCTTTCCACACACACCAGCCACTCTGACATGCAAAATAAACCTGTCTGAGTAAATCTGACAAGGTTTTTTCAAATAAAAATATTAATGAAGTTTAGTTTAGTTGAGCCTTCAAATTAAATCAAGAAGTAGAGGAAGAAAGACGACACTTCCAAAATGCCTAAAATAAATGTATCTGGAAAGCAGGTCTAGACCACGAGAACTAATATGGGTCCGAACCTTTCTTTTTCTAGCTATACAAAATGAGCGGGCCCAGCCGGTGTGGCTCAGTGGTTAAGCGTCGACCCATGCACGGGTTGTGGGTCCAATCCCCGGTGGGGGGCATGCAGGAGGCAGCCAATGGATGTTCTCTCTCATCGATGTTTCTCTCTCTCTCCCCCTCTCATTCCCTCTCTCTCTAAAATCAATAAAGGAAAAAAAATAATTAAAATGACCGGGAACACGCTTAGCTCTTAGTGCTTATCAACACGGACAAGCGATGTTGGTCACAGGCATTGAGAGGCCTCAGTGAATGGAAGGCACGAATAGGGTCCCCTCCGGATTTTAGGGAAGACTCGTGTGTCACACAGCCATGGTGTCAGGGGAGCAAAAGGACACAATACTGGTCACCATGATACAAAGTTTCCAAAAACATATTTATCCTTGTAAATAACAACACGAGTGACAAATGCTTAAACATTATATGCAACACTTTGGGAAGAAGACAAAAGGTAACTCAGGAGGTCAAAACTTCAATCCACCCGTCACAAACCTGTAGTCCTATCTTCTATAGGAACTGTAAAACACGGTTATGTTTCCTTACCAGGTACAAGAACCCAATTGTTTCCCCCCTGAAGTTCAGGATAAAGGAGATTCTTATCACAAAAGACACAAAATGCATTTGTCATTATAGTTGAGTAGGCTGTAACATTTTTTATTTATAAGCTCTAAGTTGTGTGATTCTTTTCTTGAAAATACCAAGTCCCTCCTCACCCCCACATCAAGAAGCTAGTGTCATAACACAAAGGTTCTTAACTTTAGAAAAAGCCCCAGTAACCCCACGGAGAGATTTAATTTCCTGGGAAGACAGGAAAGCTACCCATTCTCTCCAGCAGTTAGAGAATAACCACTTATTCATTATTAATGACACAAATTCAGATGTTAAGGGGAGCTACGTCCCACGCATTTTTAAATATTTGCTTTTAATTTTATCCCATTGCATTCTGAAACACTTCTCTGCATATTCAAAATGGTCCAGAAGCCCCTGCACTTGACTGCAGCCTCGAAAGCAGGCCTGCTAGGTTACAAAGTGAACGTCATTTGCCTCGAGGCACAAGCAGTGGCCCGTTAACAAATCACTATAACCACCAACTCTGTCCGCTGATACGGTTTATTCCACTAGACTGCCATTTCATACACAGTACGAGGGGGTTTCCTGATCGCACACATAGTTTTACTTCTTGTACTGCTGAAGAACCATTTTTCTTTACATTATATCATAACACCCTATCGTTAAAACATTATTCAGTGACTTTTTTCCAACTACATATAGACGGGAGATTTACCACACACACGGTGCAAGAATGTCTTTATAACATATTGGAATCACAACCTGTGAATCTAAAATACATCACTGTCATTAGAACACTACTTTAAAATTACAACGCCATGTTCTGTCGGCCGATCTGATCAATCTCTGTACGCGTCACAAAGCAGCTGGGTAGATGACTTCTTGGATAACTGGCAGCAGCTTTGAACGATGATTTCAAAAGAAATCGTTAATACACGATCCCAATTTCGAATTTTAAAAACTTCTTCCTTTAGGCATTCAATATTCTCAGAACCAAAATGGGACATTTTCAAATGGCTAGTCTCTGAAACAAGAAGAATAAATACAACCCTCCCTTAGCTGAAAGGCTAGGGCAGCAACATCAGGTTTCGTAGACATCTAAGGAAGGCATCGTAGGGGCAGTGGGAATGTTTTAAAAAGGAACAAAATTTCTCTAAGAGCTTCTTGGGTTTCTCTGCCCCTCCCCACCTCTGTCGAACACAGAGAAAGAATATTGGACTGCATTTCAAATAGAGGAGTGTTTCCGCGAGATGACGGTCTAAAGAAAATGTATGTAAACAAGCTAGAGAGAAAGATTTCTTCATTTTCCCATTTTCTGGAGCGGGGCAGTGGGATGATAGCAGTTAAATAAAAAATAGAACTCCTTAGTCAAAGAACCACTTCATTACACACAGCGCAGCTAAGGAAAACTGCTGGAAATTTCTCATGTGTTTCCTTTCCTTCCCCCCCCAAGTTTGAGAATGCTTGAAAGTTCAATAAATAGTAGAAAAATAATCCTTTACTTAGAAATTTTGGGATGCGTCACTCAGAGCTTCGCAGGGGCGCCACACAGCAACCGTGGCGTCTAGGTACCGCGGGGAAACAAGGCGACATCTCCAAAGCGCGTTTCAGCCGGACGTGCGCGCGCGGCTCCGGGAGCGCATCCCCCTCTTCCAGTTAAGGCGAGCTGACTGTCTCTGGCTCCTCGGAACATTCCTCTGGCTCAGCTTCACGAAGGTTCCCCATGTTTCATTTATAGGTTCCGTCTCTCCGTTTGGAGGTTTGCCTTCTGTTCCATTCCGCTAGGAGCATGGCAGGCTCATTTATCAGGCTAATTTCCCGGCCGTGGCAGAACCCGCCTGGCGGCTTCCCACGTGGGATTCCGGTGTTCGCTCTCACTTTCAAACATATCCACGTATAAACGAGTGACCTCACTCCGGACAAAGCCCACACACGAGAGGTTTCTTGCTGAGGGTTTTATGCTGGTTCCTTTCCCTCCAGACCGGTCCGTACCTCCCCGACCCTGGCTTCTCACGGGGCGGAGGGCCGTTAGCACTCGGCGTCCACGGTGTGGACCGTCACGGCGGCCTGCAGGTGGTGGCTGTGGTGCAGCGTGGGGTGGTGCAAGCGGTAGTGGTGGAACTTGTTGCTCAGCAGGGCCGCGGTCTGAGGCGGGGTGTCCAGGTCCAAGTCCTCATCGTGGTTCCCCACGTCCACCCCTGCTGACAAGGGGTCATTGTTGCACGGAGGGTTTTCACTGTCTTCCTGTGGGCTCATGGTGCTGTAGCCTAGAAAAGGAACAAAACAAATAAGCGCTGAGAGCTTCCAGGCGCAGGGGGGAGTCGCTCAAGCTGCCTGGGGCACCAGGAGGTGTCGCTGCCTTGGTGCTACACAGGCGCCAACACCGGCAGGTTTTCAGCAGACGGTGGAGGGGCTTATATTAAAAGAGCCTTTGCTGACGGTTTCTTCCTTAAAATGATTACACAAGAAACACCTGAACATTTCAGACCACCGAGAAAGTCTAGATCGGAAAAACATATATGCACGAACTCTTTCCCTACATCAACACAATGAAAATTAAAATGACCTCACGTCCCATCTGACCCATAGACAACCACCAGTGACATCTGGGGAACTCTCCTCCTACACTTTTCCCAGAGATAAGGTTAAGACTGTTTTCTATTTTAAAGAACAAAAAAAAAAGGAGAAAGGTCTTGGATCAGGTGGGGGCTGGTGGGCGAGGCTGGGCTTCAGGTCGCCTGAACACAAAGCAACAGCAAGAACAAAAACAACTGCCACCGTTTTCTGCACACCTGCTCCATGCAGGCACGGATGCCAGGTCACTCCTGCACACCAACCAGGCGTTATCTTAACATCCGTTTACAGGTGAGGGAAGCGATGACCAGAGAGGCTGATGAACCCGCCCGAGGTTCCAGTACCCAAGGAAACACCAGCTGCACACACACCCACAGCCACGAGCAAAGGAATCAACTATTCTCTGTGGAAGCTGGCTCACTGTATTTAAAGATTAATTTCTTTTGGTATTCTCAGTAATACATGTTTCAGAAGAAAATGCTCTTGCTGATCAAAGGATTCAATTCCAAGAACCCTGGCATGTTTTTAAATATTGCAAAAATCCCCTTTAAAATTTTTGAGAAGTGACAGCTCATTAATATTTCCGCTGCATCTACAGTTAGCCTCAATCAGCACTCACCCGTGGGTAGTGCTAGTCACATTGTGGCTGCAAAATTGACATGCTTGCATGCAGCCACGCCAGAATAGTCGGTGGTTGAAAATGCATGCTCCGTGCAGAAATGAGAAAGGCCATTCTCCGTCCTCAGTGAAACATCTCCCAAATGAAAGTATTAGTTAAGTCAGCCCAATGCAACTAATAAGTCTTGGCCACCTACGATGTACCAGACACCATGCTGGCTCATGCAGGAGACACCAGGATGAAAACGTGGTCCCTGTACAAGGAGCTCAAAAGTTAGTGCTTGAGAAATAAAACAAGTATCAACATAGCTCAATTCAATTATTAATTTATTGGAGACCATTATGGGGCTGGAGGGGGAAGACTATAAAACATGAATAAGAGATGTCTCTTTTCCTCAAGGATTTCACAACCAAATAGGAGACAGATATTCATGAAGCGAGGCTTACAGTAATGCCGATAATAGTAAGTGTTATAATTGAGGTATCATGAAAATCCAGAACAGGGAATAACTACTCCTGGCTGGAGGAATGAGAAAGCATCACAGAAAAACCCGTTTTAGTTGGGCTGACACAGATGAGTAGGAATTTGGTAAGTGGACATGAGGCAAGGAACACAGGAGCGCAGCCGCAGAGGTGCGGACGCCTACGGACGTTCCTGCACCACGTGGCTCGGAGGAGCACGGCAGGCAGCTGGAGAACAGGGCAGGCGGAAGGTGGAGAGGTGAGTTCAGGTGAGACCGTGGAGGCCATGCCGAAGCACAGAAAATGGAGACAACACACGATTCTGAAAAGACCCTAGGATACCTGAGGGGGAGACACTTAAGGTGGCCCTGATGGGACAGGAGGGTTTTATTAGGAAAAGAAAGGGGTGGCGGCGAGGTGCCGCCGGCAGGGCGATGAGCCTATGCAGAGGCAGACCGTGGGAAGGCTCCAGTGGACCGGCTAATGGTGGGAAGCCCGGTGTGTGGGAGAAGGGCGTGGGAGGTGCGGCTGGACGGGACAGCTAGGGCCAGATCAACAAGGCTGGTCGCAGCTACTAGTTAGGACTTAGTAATGGGCAAGGGGAGGCAAACAGCAAAGACGTATGCACGTTAAGGTGATCCGCTGTGGCAACAAGGAGGCTGGACGGGAAGGAAGAGGGTCAGAGGCTCAGAAGACGGGCTAGTGCGCCAGGCGGAGGTGGCGGGGGCCTGGCGGGGGCCAGCAGCAGTGTTGAAGTGGGCAGCGTGGGGCTCCGAGAGACACTTCGAGTGCAGAGTGGGTGGGATGTGGTGACTAAACGGACTTGCCTGGTGCGTACAAGAGAGTTGACATCCTCAGATAAGGTCAAGGTGGCTGGGTTTGAGGCTGGGGAAATGGTGATGCCTTCTCCCAGTTCTAAGAGGCCAGGAGCCAGAGCGAGTTGCTCGGTGTGGTGTCTGGAGTCTAAGGTGGCACGGTGGCCCCACAACCTCAGCTGCAAAGATGTGCTTGGACCACCGTAGGCTCTATACATGAGGGACTACAGTGGAAAACCTGGTTCCAGTATGAGTTCAGTGTCTGTGTTGATTATTCTGAGCCAGCTTTTAGAGCTAGGCTGTCCTCGTCTTTCCTCCAAACACTCCGGAACCGCCTGTCTCTGCTCATTTACATGCACCCACAGCAACGGAGAATTCATTTCCACATTCATGATGCAGAGTTCATGGTGGCCCATTGCCTGGCTCACCTTGCACCCTCCCTCATCTTGCTAACATCCCAGCCCCAGCCTGGTGTCCTTCTGTGAGTTCTGTGCACATCCATCTCAGATTCTACCATATGATAAGAAAACATAGGGCTGTCTTGTCCATTAGCAAATTCTTTCTAAAAAAACCACAAGGATTTATTTATCTTTGTACTCCTAATATTCAATGCAATGACTCTCACAAGCAAGCACTTAATTAAAAAAGAATTATATAATATATTCCCAAAGCAAAGGTATCAATGATTTCCTTCCTTCCTTCCTTCCTTCCTTCCTTCCTTCCTTCCTTCCTTCCTTCCTTCCTTCCTTCCTTCCTTCCTTCCTTTTCTTTCTTTTCCCCCCCAGTTATCTGTGGTGACACTCACCAGTCTCATCTAATAATGAAGACCTGCCTAGGGGTTCTGACTTAGGGTCCAGGGATGCTCTGAACCTGACTGGTCATAGACCCAGGGTGGTGGTGATGGTACAGCTGTCCCTAAGGCAACCTAGAGGCACCCCCATTTCTCCTGCTGCTTTGATAAGGACCCCAGCAGAGGCCCTTCCAAAGTGAACCCCTCAATGCAAGTTCATTCTATTTAATTTGCTCAATTCCTCTGTAATTTAGGTTTTCCTTTATCTCAATAATTAATGAAAATCTGGAGGAAGGGAGTAGCAAGTTGTGGAGAAGCAGGAGAAAGCCAAAGGTATACTCTCACTTAACAAATTAATTGTTTACTCAGTGCCATGCAACCTGCTGAGCACTGGGAGCCGTGATGAATAAGACAGACTCAGTCTGTGACTCACAGGGGAGGAAGCACTATTTAAAACACAAGGGATAGTTACAAATACTTTCAAAGGGAAATTTTATTTACTGTCCAAAGATGTATGCAGAAAAATCTCCACAAAGACAATCTCAACCAAGAAATAGGCCTCAGGAAGGTCAGATGTCCTTTAAGAACAGAGGAGTCAAGGTTAGGGTTTTGCTGTTTAGTACTGTGCTTATACATTTAGGCTATGGTTTCTAAGACACAGCTCTTGAAGGTAGGGATGTTAGGTCTCACTGGGGACTCACTCACCACCTTCTGGTCACAGAGAGGAACTGCAGGACAATATCTGCACCTTGGAAAATGGTCTCCTGCTGCACTATGCAGATTTTGACTGGGTTTCAAAGTTCAGTATTTGCATTTCAGCATTTGCATTTTGAATCTTCTGGAATTTGCTTCACTAGAGGAAAATTTCCCTCTTATAAAGAAAAAATGTTGCTATATATATATATATATATATATATATGTGATATGTATACACACACACACACATATACATATATATCTTTTTTTCTTTCTAATGAGATGGTAACCAAAATATAGAGTCATAAGGAACAAACATATATTGGTGGTTTTTAACTTAAAAAATAAGCCAGTAGATGATTAGACAGAACCTGATATTTTCAAGAGAAATAATTGGCAAAGTAGATATATAATTAAGCATAAAAAGAAGAAACATCTGTAACAAAAATAAATAAAATTTTTAAAAAAGCATAGATAGGTAGTAACTGTTTGTAATCTGTTCTTGTAAGTTAATACTTGAGTGCCGAGAACAATCATCCTAGAATACTGACAAAGATAATTCTGCTTTTCAAAAACCATTCTTATTTTAAACAAATTTTTATTAAGATACAAAAATTTAAATTAGATTCCCTTGAAATAGAAAATTAGATTCCTTTGAAATAGATTTAGGCCACACTAAATATATCTAAATTTAAAAAAATACAGCCTGAAAGTTTCCAAGTTTAGCCCGAAAACATTTAATTTCAGGAGCATCGTAGGTCTGAACCACACCACAAAATCTAGTGTGTCTGGTATGTATATGTGTATCTACGTTATTCTTTTGAGTTTCCTTTGTGTATCAGACCCTAAAACACCTTGTGGAAATACGCTCACCGAGTAGCAAAGAACCACGGTCCTACAATCCTACCCGTTCAAGGGCCGGCAAGATGCCACTTTCCCACTGGGGTCTTCCATGATTTCCCTGCAGATGGAAGAGGACGATCTCCCCACCTTCTCTCTGTTCCACTCCTTGAAGTGGTCACATTCAGGCTTACGAAAGCGAATACATGCATTCGTTTACTGTTTCCTCCTAGACTGAATTCCTTGAGGGCAGAGTGGGTATGGAGGTGGGGAGGTCAACCCTGAGCTCATTTCTGCCATACATTATTTCACGTACTCCTCACGACGACTTCACCGGAGAAGATTTTCTGATCCTGGTTTAAGAATTAGGAAACCAAGATCCAAAGTAGCTTTGCTAAGTCTCACAACTTGTAAAGAGGAGGAGGTGAGATTCCAAGTGAGCTGTGCTTGACCTCCTAGTTCTTCTGCACCACGGCTGCCTTGCACAAATGAAACCTTCCCTTCTCCAATTCCCTCCCCTGTGCCTAGCAAAGCGCAGGCACCAATACCCTCACCACACAGGAAGATACTCAGGTGAGCAAGAAGCGTGCTGACACAACAGTATTAGATGAGATTCTTGTGTAATGTGGGCATACAGCTTATCCTCAATGCATGACAGGGACATCAACTTGATGCGACCAATTTTAGTGACCCACCATTCGGATTCAGGCATATGACAACAGGCAGTTAACGGCTATTGATTTTGCAGTGTGTCTGGAATTATGTGGAATGTCAATGTCTTCCACTTCTTTTAGTGTTGCATTCTGTCTGCACGAGAAACTATTTCTCATTCCTTGGGGATAACAGGGATCCAATTATTGTGAAAAATGAAAGAAAGCAAGCCCTCAGCAAGATTCGTTGGCTTTCAGATACTGACACTGCACTGTTCCTTTTATCTAAGCTGTAGCTTCATTTGCCATTTTACTAAGACAATGGGAGAGCTAATGGAATACTGTCAGTGTCACTCAGAATTTCAATTTTGAAGTAAATTCTGTTGGGGAAGAGAGGGGGAGGGAGGAAAGAAGGGATGAAGGGAGGGGGAGGAAAGGAGAGAGAGAGGAGAGAGGAGAAAGGAGCGAGGGAGAGAGAGAGAGACAGCACGCAAGCTCAGTATTTCTGCTGAATAAGAAATTATTTCTGTTGAACTTTAGTAGCCTCAAACCTGTTTTATTATTCAAAGGAGAAGCAGCACAGAACTGCCTGGCAGAATGCATTTATAGAATGTTCAAAGGTTTTTAGGGAAAAAAGGCAGAATGTCAAAGAAATTGAAAATTTTAAGTTCTGCATTGACTCTCCATAGAAACCCAACATTCCTATTTAGTTGGTGGGAACAATGTCATTCAAAGCTCAAATTAAGTCTCCAATTTACAACCAGAGCTTTCGTCCCATTTTCCAAAGGGAGCCCGACTACCTGGCTGTCACGTAAAAGGCCACATCGGCTGCTTTGACGAAAAACCACTCCTGCATTTTTTAGCACAGGTGTGGGAGCACTCTGTTTGAAGACATTTTTTTTCTTTCTCCTTTTCAGGGTAGATGTGGAGAAAGCAGAGTCAAATACATGCATTATTTATGCATTAAAAAAAAAAAAAAACCTGATTCTGGGAAGACAAATATTTCTGGAAAATTAAACAGCTGTATGAAAAATAAAGTGCTGTTCTCTGTGACAACAAGCCACACGGACACTGGGAAGGTGAGCAGGTTAGGTGGCGGCCACGTCTTCGGTATAGTGTGTGGATTTTATAACCTGTAGCTCATCTGCCACTCAGCGCCTCTTCACATCTGAGCCTGGAGCCCCCCTGAGCATCCTACAGGTCCTTCCCACAACTCCGTCACTGTACACACTGGTCCCTTTGCCCCTCACGTTCTCCCCTCATCCTTCAAGGCTCCCGCAAATGCTGTCTCTTTTCATGAAACTGTCCCTAAGCCTCCCTGGCAAGGCTGGAGGCCAGGGTGGGGCACACCAGAAGACAGCAGGGGCTCTTGCTATGCCCCACAAGGACGTGCCTGGGAGAGCCCTGGATGATGCTCGTGTTTGCCAACTAACACCGGACAGTAGGACCTATGGGGCTACCAATTTACTGAGAATCAAGTGGGGTGGTAAGCAGGCTTCATTCAGACGATCTGAGTCCTTACTCATGGTGAAAACCTAGGGAGCCATCTATGTGCCCGGAGGTCACCTCACTGAACCCAGGCGTGCTGAGACACCTGCAAATTCACCCGTGGGCTCTTACCAAAGTGTCATGGTGGAATGTGTCTTTTTGGAAAACGATGTCAAAATAATTCACTTGAGCACAGAACAGGAAAGAGAGAGAAGCGTGGGTATGTGCACCGCCCACGGGAGCCCACGGGGCTCCTCAGGTCCTCACACACGGGGGCTAGACCTACCGTGGTCACTCTCTGTTCCTGATCGACCCCAGTAGCGACGCCTCCTCTCGGGACTGTGTGCGTGCCGCTCCATGACCGCGGCTATAAATCGAGTGTTGCTGACTGCGGAAGGCAAGGAGAGTTAGTCACTCTTCGGCCAGGGTCCTTATTGTGTCACGTACGTTTTCTCTGAGCAGCCTCATTTGCATGGCGGGGGTTATTCTGTGGAGAGCTAGCAAACGTCATTTAAAAAACCTTTTGAGGATCGCGGGGGTTGGTTTTGGAACTGGGGCGGGAGAGGTCCCTGATTACGTATCCCCAAGAGGCATCCAGCAGATAGGCTCCCAAGTTGTCGAAGCCTATGGTAACTCAACATGAATGGGACTCACCCTCTCTCTCTCTTTTTATTGTTGTTGTTAATTCTCACCTGAGGATATTTTTCCATTTACTTTTTAGGTAGAGTGGGAGGGAGGGAGGGGGAGAGAGAGAAACATCGATGTGAGAGAGACACATCGACTGGCTGCCTCCTGGGCAACCCCAACTGGGGCCGGGAACAAACCTGCAACCCAGGTACGTGCCCTTGACCAGGAATCGAACCTGAGACCCTTCAGTCTGTGGGCCAACGCTCTAACTGCTGAGCCAAACCACCGGGGCTTGATAAAGAAATGCTCCTTTCTCCTCCAGATGTATACATTAGTTTAGGGATTAAAAAAAAAAATGCATCCCTGATGATCCCCTTTCTGAAATACTATGCTGGACAGTCATGAGGAGGAGAAAGAAGGAAGGGTAAGGTGTCTTAGGCCACAGCACTGACTTCCAAAAAGAACACCATGAAATCTTTTGAGGTTTTCTAAAACAAACACCTACATGTATTTCTAATGAAAAGAGGGGGAAAGACCCCATCGTGTCAGAGCTCCTTTAATTTTAATACCAGCCAAAAGGATATAAGAAAGAATATTTATTCTGGATTAGCCTCCTGCTGACACGGTCGGCAGCGCGGGGGCCGGCGTACTCACTGATGCCTCTGTCTTCGTGGCTGTCATCGTCCCTTTCATCTCTGTCATTCTCCAGGTTGGACATACGCACTGACATTTCTACCCATCATTAAAAAGAGAAAAACATGACTATTTAATCAAACAAAATCAACTACATTAATGCCCTGCAGAGTGCTCATTTGATGGCGGGGTGACAGCTTTCCATCGGGGAGTCCTATCTCGGAAGAGAACAGACACCCCCCACCTTTCCTGTTAACAGAGGAGAGAACAGGAGACAGAGGAGGGAGAGCAAGTGCACAATCAAACCTGACACTGATTTCTGAAGGAGGAGAAGGCAAGAGATCGACAGAGACCAACAACTCTGCGAGAGTCCCCGAAACAGAAGGAAGGAGTCTCCAAGCACAGCTGACCGTGTTGACAACGTGGTCCCACACACTCTTAGAAAAGGTCAGGCACGCCATAACCCTGGATGGCAGCCCATCCTCAGGCTAACCACGCCTCAGCAAGGGGAGAGCTCCATGCTCAGCCCTGTCACTAAGCCGGGCAGCATGATCCCACGATGCCCCAGCAGGACTGCGGCCACACACAGGCCGACTCCCCCGGTCTTGACTGCTGCAAGGGTGAGCTCAGGGCTCCTGACCTAGCGCAGGAAGAACGCTGGATCAGCCTCATCCCCACAGAGCTCCGCTGGCCACATCCTTGGGGGCTTTTAGGAAGGCGGGGAGGGGAGGCATTACGCGGTGTTGTCCCTAGCCAAGGAACACAGACTGCACATTTAACTCTTAGTACAGAAGCCAGGATTACAGAGTAATCATTTTGTACCTGGCTTCATTTATCTATCCTGTTCTGAGAGACGTGATTATTCCTTCAAATGTGTGTTCATTCACAGAAATATAGCAGAGAATATATAATAACAGCTGCCACAGAGGGGTTCATTTTCCGGCCAGCAGTGACCTGGGGGATCTTTCGTTTGCCAGTGTTTTGGGAATAGCAAAGGCAAAGCATCTGAAGTGAGTGTAGAAGAAAATTCCCAGGCGGCCCTGCAGCCCCCGGGCGGCCAGGTCCCGAGCAGGCTGTGGCGGGCGGATGCTGTGTGAGGAGAGATCCAGGAGCTTCCTAGGGACTCCAAAGGGGCTAAGGAGGAAAGCAGGTGTTGGGGACTTCTGAACCCACTCAAGGGCAGCTCAAAGGGCAGCATGTTCTTATCGCTGCTGAGAGGCTCCCACATCCGGCCACCCCCCCCCACCCTAAGACCACCTAAAGAAGGCTGCTGCCTACGGAGGAGTCTTGAGAGTCACTCATTTCCAGCTCACCTTGGGCAGCCAGCGGAGACATGTGCTGGTGACTCCGGCGGTGAATCTGGTGGCGGTAGGCGTACACAGCGAGGACCAGGACCATGATGCACCCCATGATGCCGCCAGCCACGGGGCCCACGGGGGCACTTTTAATCATGTTCAATGTGACCACCTCATCACCTGCAGGGAAATGAACGAACAGAGGTCCCTGGTCATGACTCCCCAGGTGTGGGGGGAGCGGGGGTGGGGGTGGGGGTGGGATGGGAAGGAACAGAGCGGGAAGGGGTTCGAAGGAGACGAGAGCTGCTGTAAGCCACGAATTCCTCAAAGACGACGCGCAGGAACGTGGGAGCAGTGACCCCGTTTAATTCCTGGTTCCCACATTAAATGCTAAGTGCTCAGGAAAGCAAGAACGCAGTTAGCAAGATCTGGTAAGATGCGTGCGTGGATGAGAACCACTTAAATCCGTGGTGGCCAGGCTGAGGGCCCAGTGCCCGGGGTGTGGGCTCCTCCCGGAGGAGGAGGAGAGAGGCAAGGGCAATGTGGGCCTCTCTGGGGCACATGTGACTGATTTCACGGAAATAAACGGCACCAGGTATAATAATACACCCTAAAAGGTCACATTTCAAAGCTTATGGGTTTCCTTTCAACACCATCTGCACGTTCAGACGGGAAACTGCAGGTGGGCACATGCAGTGACTTCTCAGAGCGGGGCCATGCCCACCACGTGCTCCCTGGGTCAGCAGTGACACGGGAGCTCAGTCCCCCCTCACACGGAGCTTTTCTTCTAGACGGGCTAACGCAGGGAGAGGTTCATAATCAGGTGTTAACTAGCAGCTTAAATATCTGCCTCACCCGCCAGCCAAGCTTCAGGCGTGTGTGCTCACTCGGTAAAGACCCTGGGAAAATCTCACAGCGGGACGCAGGTAGTGTTTTCGAGGTCTTGGGGCCTGATCCCAGAGGTTTTCTTCCCCACAGTGTCCCTGTTGCCCACCCTAAGCCACTCCAGGCCCTAAATAATGATTTGTAGCCACAAGACGTCGAGCTCTGCAGAAGCCGTGAGGGGCAGTTGCAGCAGGAAATGGACGTGCAGGGTCACTTGGCCCATCACGGGCCTCTGCTCCTGACAGCTGGGACTCACATTCGAGCAGACTCGAGGTCCAGCCACACGGAGATCAGGCCTGATAGTTCTCAGAACAAGCTTTGTGGGAACAAATTCCAGGCTTGCAAAATCTGGCAGATCCGACGGCTGTTCACTCGGCACAGATATCTAGCCAGCTTTGAAGGTCATTATCTGCCTGGGTTTTGTAACAAAAAGCTACTGGCACAGGGATCAGGGAAGTAGCGTAGAGAATTGTTTTAAGATGTCTGTCCTCATATAGAGACAGGAAAATCTGTATTCAACAATCCAATTATTATAGGTTCCCAACAAACATACCTATTGCTCCCATGTCATCCACGTAGGGACTTTTGGCGCCCACGATGCCCCCAAAGCATTCTTTCTGGGGCGCACAGTAGGACTTGTCCAGGTGCGTCTTTCCGTCGCTGTCCACCATGCACCATTCACAGTCCAGCACGCCAAAGCAGTCCCTGCGGAGAGACGAGGCTGAGGGCGCGGAAAGCCGAGCCGGGCAGGGAGCACCGTGGGCCGGGCACCCGGCAGCTCCTGAGCGGGCCCTTCCTGCCTGGTGCTGCAACTCCGCGAGCACTAGTTTCCTGTGCTCATAAAATGAGAACAGCACGAATCTGCCAGGGGACAGCTGCTTTATGTCCCTCAACGACTTGGGGCTGAGGGAAATGAAACTGCTCTCTGTGAACCCAACCGTGAAATCCACACAGCATGGATGAGTGCAGGATTATTCGAAACCCTCTTCAAAGACCAAATGGCCCCAAGGTTTCTTAGACTTTGGCCTAACATCACCCAAGTGCATGGTCATTAAAAAAAGAAAAAAATATGGTCAAATAATTTTGGAAAATGTGCGTAAGTGAAACAGATTTTCTTACTGTCAATCTCTTAGAGCTGTTAAGAAGTGTACTGAGACTCCCTGAGAGAGTAGATACAGTGTTTCTCAAGCCTAATTGGCTTTGGCTTACTTTATAATATCTCAGTTTATCTGATGCCCTACACCAAAAGTAGAACTAGCCACCCTTTCTGCCCACTGACTGTTTCATCAAATGGTAACCTGCAGCTATATCTATAATAAACGAGTCACCCCTTTAGGTTACCACAGCCACTATGCCCATAAGGGCTGGTCCCAAACACCCTAGGGAGCAGGCGACATGTAGTGTTCAGGTCTCACAACTACCAGGAAGCACACTGCTTTCTAAGAAAGAAAATGGTCAGCGTCAGTGTGGCCCACACAGAGCCTTGACTGCTGGGTTCTGGTTCTGCAGCCCAGGAGTTCCTGCCCCTCACCCTGGCTTCTTCATGCCATGCCCCCGCACCCTTTATTTTTACAGTTTATCTCCAGAATAACTTTCCCACTCATTTGTAACATGCGGTACAAATGCCAAGTAGCTGTAACAAGTGAAAACTGGAGGAGCTTAGTTACGGCCCTCATTTCAGATCTGAAAAAATAGATGTTACTTTTTAAAACATCAAGTTTGGGAATGATAGACATCAGCTGGAAAAGCTCAGTGAGGCTGGTGGTCACTCTTCTTGACTCGATTCTGCTCCGAGACCATCGCGCTGATGTAAATGAGCCCGGGACACTGCTCACCCGCTCTCCATCCTCTGGCTGCACCTGCTGTTGACACACTGGTGAAGAGCGTCCTGCAGGCCGGGGTCGGTGGCTGTGTATGTCACCGGCTCCTGGTGAACCTCGCAGCTGGGGTTTCTATTCAGGAGCAAGTCTGGGGGTTAGGACCAGGTACATGCCAAGCTCATCATGCCCCCGGCCCCCACGGTGTCAGGCAGACCTGGGTTTGAATCCCGACTCTGCCACTGAGCTATATAAAATCATAGGCCAATCACTTCACTATTCTGAGCTTCAATTTGTTCATCTTCGTGTGCAAAAGAAATATCAAAAAAATGAGGAAATCGGAAATAGTCAACAAAATAGGAATATATACAATCAAAAGTGGTTATCTCCCCTCACCATTTGAAATCGTCCTTTTCAGAGGTAACCACTGTTAACAGCTTAATGGTTTTTTTTTTTTAAAGACATTTTTTCTATGCCTAAATAAGTATATACAGTTGACCCTTGAACAACATAGGTTTCAACTATGCAGGTCTGCTTATACTCAAAATTTTTTCAGTAAATACCTGTCTTGTTTTTTTTTTTTTTATCTTCATCCGAGGACATTTTTGCATTTATCTTCAGATAGAGAGGGAGGGAGAGAGGGAGGAAGAGAGAGAGAGAAACATCAATGTGAGAGAGACACATCGAGTGGTCACTGCTCACATGACCCCAACTGGGGCCGGGGACAAACTGCAACTTAGTGGGAACCGGATACCTGCCCTTAGTGGGAACCGAACCCGCGACTCTCCGATCTGTGCTCTAACTGCTGAGCCAAACTGGCCAGGGCCTGTCTTGTTTTTGTTCTGCGGATGGCAGTCCGCAGAGGCAGAGGGCTGCCTCTATGCACTGTTTTATGCCATTTTATATAGTGGACGTGAGCGTCACCGGGTTTTGATATCCATGGGGGGTCTTGGAACCAGTCTCCTACATATGCTGAGGACCAACTAAGTTTTGGGGAAGTCAAAAGTTAGACAGTTTTTCATCTGGCCTGTGTGGCTCAGTGGTTGAGGGTCAACCCATGCACCAAGAGGTCGCCGGTTTGATTCTCAGTCAGGGCACATGCCCAGGTTGTGGGCCCAATCCCCAGTGGGGGGCATGCAGGAGGCAGCCAATCGATGTTCTCTCTCATTGATGTTTCTATCTCTCTCTCCCTATCCCTTCCTCTCTCTCTAAAATCAATAAAAGAAAAAAAAAGTTACACAGTTTTTCAACTATGTGTGTGTGTGTGTGTGGGGGGGGTTGCTGCCCCAGGCCACGCTTTATTCGAGGGTCAACTGTACTAATATGCATACACGCAACATTCTTTCTTTTAAGTTCTAGAGAAGAGACTTATCATACTTTATTTAACTGGCCTTAAAATATGTCACTAATATAAATAATGCCATGTTATGTATGAGCATGTGTGTTTATGAAAGATACATATACATTTACCACAGGGTTAATTTGAAAACTAAGTGACTTAATGTGCATAAAATAACCAACACATGTGGGCACTCAGTGAATGCTTGTAACAGTCTCATATTTTCTGTGTATAGCACATATATTATTAATTCTTTCACAGCGTTTAAATTTTAACCTGGAAGTGGGCTTCTTAATTTTAAGGCACTATGTAGCTTGTAATCTGGCTCACTGAACAGTCACATCAGCAGAATAAATCAGCTTATGCCCCAACTCAAAACAAATCTATAAACAAGACTCAAAGTATATATATTCATTGTGTGTGTGTTTGTGTGTGTGTAATTATTACTATTATTTTTTACCGGTTTTCTGCATTGGTGAGGTTGCCAGTACACTCGTTGACCTCTAGAGGGCACTCACAGGGACATTCACATTCATTTTGTTCCATTCTGAAAAGCAAAAAGAAAGTTACTATGCAGAGAGTCAATGACCAATTATATATTGTACACATACCAAGGGAAGCAAAAGAAAGAAAATGGTAGTTAAAATGGGTAGAAAACAAGAAATTATGACCAAAAGTTTAAATCCACAAGTGGCCTCAATCCACTGTTCTTTGGATAAAAATGCTGCAAACACAGCTCTAAAAATGCTTCTGTACCCAGGACTTCCCTTTCCCCAGGACGCACCCAGCACTTTCTGCTGGTTTTGCAGATGCCACTTGAGGATGACTGGCATAAATTAAAATATTCGACAGTATGGTAAACAGAGAATCTGACCTACAGCATTCTTACCGGTGACAGTTGAGACAGAGCCGGTCCACCATGCTACACGCACAGAAGGCGAGAGAGTCGCACGTTTCATTGACAATGCCGACAAACGCGTTGGTGCCTGGGATCCTCGCCAGTCTGTACTTAGAACAGTGGCTGCCATGCACAAGGTTTGTCAAGTCCCCCTGCAGACAACCAAAGTGTCAAAGGTGACAGACAACAATGCAAAGGCTGAGCCCTACCATGGTGAAAACAACCCTTTGATCAGCTGCTGAGAATAACGTACAATAAAACTTTATTTCTGATGACAGAGTAGTACATAGTCACTGTTACAAATATCCGAAGATAAAAATTATTTATAGTCCCATCATAGATAATGCTCATTGAACAGTCATGTATTTAACACTAATTCTTTTATCTACGCTTATCAAAATAAAATTTTAAGCTGTTTTTGAAATCTGTTCTTTCCTTTTTAACTCATAATAATATATCATAAAATGAAAATAAACGCAAGAAGCAATGAAAGACAACTTTCCAGTAAGGAATAGTTCAAAATTTATTCAAAAGCAAATCTAAACAACCAGAAGACATGCATTTGCCTCCCGCTTTGATAACAAACACCTGTTCTTTAAGAATAATAAAATTATTTTAAAACCAAAGCCCCTTTAAGAGGCCAGTACTCTGCTTCCAGAATATTTAAACACTCCAAGCAAAGCAAGCACCCTTTTCTTCATTCTGTAAGGAGAAAATGTGATAGCCAGTTTCTTGAGTTGTCAAATTTGTCACCACATTAGAAAATCAAAGATTCAAAGGCGGCATTGAGTGTGGTCATTTTTTCCTCCATCATGTCATATGTACTAGGTCAATTATTTCAACGCATACTTGTGTCTTTGCCAGAATCCCCCATGGGGCAGGGTGACCGTAACCCTAACTCTGAGAATCACGGCCTTGAACGGGTTCGCAGAGGTCTGGATGGGTTTCCCACTGCCGGGGAAATGCCCGCATCTACAATCTAAGCGATACTACAAGGCTTTGCAGCCTGTGAGCGCCAGTCCGCAGAAATGCTCCAATTCCATTTTGGAGTAACTTCCGCCACTAAGAAATTATTCTAATTGATCTCCCATTTGACCCAGTGATCCCACTTCTAGGAATATACCCTACGAAGCATAAAACACCAATCAGAAAGAATATATGTACCCCCATGTTTGTAGCAGCACTATTTACAATCGCTAAGATCTGGAAACAGCCCAAGTGCCCATCAGTAGACGAATGGATTAAAAAGCTGTGGTACATATACACAATGGAGTACTACGCAGCGGTAAGAAAGAAAGATCTCTTATCCTTTGAGACTACATGAGGGACCTGGAAAGTATCATCCTAAGTGAAACAAGCCAAACAGAGAAAGACAAATTTCATATGATCTCACTGATTTGTGGAATATAATGAACATAACAGTTTGAGGACAATCCCCTAAGGAGTGGGGAGGTGAGAGAGGGATGAACCACAGAACTTATATGCATGTATGCATGAACAGTGGACATGGACAACAATCTGGGGAAGGGACAGGGAGGGAAGGGGGAGGGGGGAATCAGTGGGGGAAAAAAGGAGAATCATTTGTAACAAAAATTAATCAATAAAAAAAAAAAGAAATTATTCTAATTCATACAGGAGTTGCCAAAAGTAGGTTTACAGTGGTAAGTATGTGAAACAGAGTTTATTCTTGTACTATTATTTATTAATTATTGTATTACTTTCCATATGAACAACTGTAAACCTATTTTTGCCCACCCCTGTATTTCACTAAAATTTGCCTTTCTGAAAAAATTTCTGCTGGAGTATCCTGGCGTTGTTGCAGGGAATCACTGTACGAATGATGGTAGATACAGAGTAATTCAGACTTTCATATGACAACCTTACCTGGCGGCCTCCCTCCATTACACTCGAGTGTGTCAATGCCCCTTTAAAAAGTACACTCAGAGTGATACAGGGTCTGAAAAGCGTAACTGACTCTCCTTGTTTTGAACACACTATCCTTTTTATATATTTATTTTTACAATTCTTCTGTTCCTCCAGACAATTGTTTTTGCAATTGCTTTTACTATTATGTTTAGGATTTTCATTTAACCTACCATATCTTTAAAATTAATTTTTACTGATACATTTAGTAACATATCTTTTTGTTGTTGTTAATCTTCACCTGAGGATATTTTCCCACTGATTTTCTAGAGCGGAAGAGAGGGAGAGATAGGGAAACACTGATGTGAGAGACACACTTGGATTAGTTGCCTCCCACACGACCCTAATGGGGACCAGGGATCGAACCTCCAACCCTTCAGTCTGCAAGGTGTCACTCTAACTACTGAGTCAAACTGGCGAGAGCACAGATATCTATTTTAAATAAAAAAGCTTACTTCTTTTTAACAACATGTTGTTTTGAATGTTGGTTGTGCTATGTCCTGTTTTAGTAATCTTCCAGCTAGGATTACTTACAAATTAGTAAGAAAATCCTTAAGATCTTGAACCGTGTCCAGGTACATCTGCAGTACCTGAACTCATCAGGAGTATTCTCAGCTAAGAGAGAGAAAGGGCCGCTGGGCGATGCACATGGGGACTCCCATTTACAGGGTGGAGGACCAGACGGACCTAGGCTGGCTTTAGGAATCTCAGGAGACTGGGGGATCTCTAGAAGACAGGAAGAGAGAAACACCGGCCACTCACATTCCCACAGGAGGGCGGAACAGACCGCAGCAGACATTTTGCACCTTCAAGCAAACAAAACCAGAACAAAATACCAGGTGTGAGAACTTAAAACAGTCACTTCTCTGCTCTGGGCTTTATATTTATAGTCCACCACTGTCACACTGGGGAGCTGGACTAAGGTCCTGTCCTGTCCTATCATTCTAGAATTCTAGTTCAATGAATCAGCCGAGAGTAAAGCGAACACTGACATCATTCTACTTTCTTTATTATTTATTTATTTATTTTTTATCCTCACCCGAGGACAATTTTTTTTCATTTTTTGTTCAGATAGAGTGGGAGAGAGAGAGAGAGAGAGAGAGAGAGAGAGAGAGAGAGAGAGAAATATCAACGTGAAAGGGACGCATCGAGTGGCTGCCACCCGCACGACCCAATCAGGGCCGGGGACAAACTGCAACCAAGGTACGTGTCCTTAGCGGGAACCGAACCCGGGTCTCTCTGGACCACAGGCCGACGCTCTAACTGCTGAGCCAAACCGGCCAGGGCTCATTCTACTTTCTATTCCATAGTGGGAAGGGATATGAGAGTGTGAAGGCATCAACTTACCACGAGGCTGGTGTTGAATTTATAAAACCTCTGGACTGTCCTGTCACTGAAGCTGTTGCACAGGTTTTTCTTGACAAAGTTGGGGTGGTTCAGGATATCGTTTGCTACCAAGGGCTCCTAACAAGGCCAAGCAGAAGACATATGTCACGTCATTAATGAGCTACAGGATGTTGGAGAGTTGAGCTACCAGCTTTGCAACAAATACCTTGTGGGTTATGTGCTGTTGTTCCACAGGTGCATGTCCTTTGGGGTCAATGAGGGTTGGATGTGCCACCAGATAGCCCCTGTCCTCCATTATGAAACACCTGCACAGAAATAAGCGACAACACTCAGTCCCTGGGGCTGTTTTTCTGTGCTTCTAGAGAGCATTGATCTTGCTAGCCCTAAAACAAACTGCATCGATCTCAGGTTCTCAATAAATATTCACTGATAAAGTGAAGGATGACGGGCTGTCAGGTAGACAGACACATTATTCCTGAGGTGGTGGATCACCTGGTAGACAGTTTCAGGTGAGAGAGTGACACCTGCTTCTAAAGTCACCTAATCAGTTCATACAGAAGGTGACCACCCAGTCCAAATAAGATGGCCTCGAAGGCTGTTGGCAAGGATGTATAAAGCAAAAAGCAAATTCTTTATTTTGAGAGGGGAGATTCTGAAAAGCGTGGCCTTGAATATTTGTAGGCATCTACTTTAAGTGAACCATACAATTGCTCCTTTTGATGATAAACATACACAAAATATGACATTCGGGGACATACACAAATATGTTTGATGGAAATACGAAATAAGTAAAGCCAGAATGCTCTAATCAAGACTACATTCTGCTCTATTGTCCTCTGCGTTCTTCAGCACGATTTGCCACGAACCCTGTATTTCCCCATTAAGGGCCAATGTGAAATCTAGCAGTGATAGAAAGCATGGGCCATGAGACTGAAATGAGAAAGCTATTTTTAAAAGCGGCCTGCATTAAATCAAGGGAATGCCCTTGCTTTGATCAGACACGTTCTTTTGAAATTCAGGCGGCAAAGACTTTGAGTTCCGTGAGCCTTTCTGGGGAAATGTGAACGGAACAATCTAAACGTCTGAGACATCTCACGAGGACTCTGGTTTCATTACTAAGTCAACATCAAAAGTACTACCCAAGAGTACCCTCTGGTCTTTCTAGCACCCAAAGTATAGGAGATTAAAGAATTAAGAGCTTCCAGGGGATCCTGTGCCACAGTTACATTCCTTGTTATGAGCCAAGTCTGTCTTAGAGATCATAACTGGCAAGTGTCTTAGGGAAAAGCCCACTAAAACAAAATCCTTCTCAATAGAACACCCAGACCCCAGACTCAGTTTCTGGTCCCAGCCATGACAATGTAGTTGCCATTCAAGTAGAGACACCTGCTCTCATTTCCCTTGTATCTTGCAGCTAGAAAGGAAATGGGGTCCCTGAAGGGCTCACCTTATCTTGTTGCCACCATCTTGGTTACAAACTGGTAGTAAGTCCATCAGAACCTTGTAGAAGTATCGAAGCGTGAAGTCAATGCCCATCACGGCCACGGTATGCCCAGAAGACATCTGTGTACTGCAAGTGAAAAAGATCAAAGAGAAGAGGCGTGTGTATTTGAAGGTAGAAGCCACGTTCAATCGGAAGGACATTGTACGGTATCACAAATACATGCCTACTCTTCCTCCGCACTTTCCACCCCTAAAACGATCGGCTAAATGACTGAGCTGGCATAACATGGAGATGTGATGAGAGGACAATTTAAAACTAAAAGTAGAACTTTCTAAAATAAGACCAGCTCAAATGATGGGCAGCTGTGGAACACGGCTAGTCCTGACTATAGATGTTTAGACAGTGATTGGCTTCCTCTTTGGAAAGAATACGGGAGTGGGAAGGAAATGCGCATCCGGTGAGAGGTTGGATGTATGGCTACTGTGGTTTCTTACAACAAGGAACCTTTAGACAAGGAACCTGCATGACCCCCTTATTTCCTTCATTTTGTAGGCAGGGAAACAGATCTTCTGAAGGTTAACTGACGAGTGTAAGATCACAAGAAAACTTAGTAAAAACAAGGTCTAGTTTTCTTTCTATAATGCTAACGTTGGCTCCACCCAAAACACAGCTCATATTTTAGAACAAGAATCTCCTGATTCATAGGCTAGTTCTTTCACCATTCTAAGATGCTCCTCTCAAAAACGAGCGCCCCAGGGAAGGTCAAGTTGGGCAGAACAACACGGTGCTTCTCCTTCAGCTCTGTAATCAAGCAGGTCTGGGATCAAATCCTGGCCTCACTGAGTTCTATTTATGTGGCTCCTGGGATGATACTTAACCTTTCAAAGTTTCATTTTTCTCATCAGAATATGGAGATAATAATAGTCTCTACTTTATAAAGCTGTTATTGGGATTAAATAAGGTAGCATGTTCATAGTGCTGAGCAAGCTGCCAAACATATCAAAATCACCCAATAAGGTGTTTTAGGAAAAGTTATTCCAAAGGAAGCTGAACAGGGCTTACTGCTCTGTTGTAGACAGACAGTGAACTCATTCTTTCAGAGAAATTGCTAGATACATCAGAAGCATGGACTTCTCATTTAGAACCTAGGTTTTTTTTCATCTATGTTCATGAACAGTTGAAAGGCCTTGGCTGTTTGGCCACTTTTGTGGCTGAGAATTTTCTTTTCCTTTCTCTTTTTTGAAGAGAGAAAAGGGCCTGGCCAGTGTGGCTCAGTGGTTTAGAGTCGACCCATGAACCAAGAGGTCACGGTTCAATTCCCAGTCAGGGCACACGCCCAGGTTGTGGGCCAAACCCCCAGTGGGGGGCATGCGACAGGCGGCCAATCAATGTTCTCTCTCATCAATGTTTCTATCTCTCCCTCTCCCTTCCTCTCTCTCTCAAATCAATAAAGATAAAAAAATTTTTAAAAAAAGGTATTGAAGAGAGAAAAGGGAGGAAATTGTATTCATTTTCCCCCAAGGAAAAGAAAAGGACCCCTGCACTGACTGGCAATACAAGGCTGGGCAGGAGAGTGAGTTGCTCTTTTTGGGGGGCTTTTGGGAGTAAAGGGCAATTGGGGCTGGGAGGAGATTGTGTTTGAAGTCAAACAGGTGTGGCTGGGATTTTCGAGGTTCACCCAACATGGCTTTTTCCAATAGCCCATTAATTACCATCATCCACCCAACTGATTTCTTTATAAGAAAATGGCAGTCATTGACATAAACCTTAAAAATATTAATTGGAAAGATCAGAAAGAACTTCTCAAAGTAAAATCCTCTTTTGGAAAATCAGAATTTGGGAGTGAAGTTAGTCTTGCAATGTAGACAACTGACCCCTATTGGTTATTGTCAGCATTGATACTAACTTATATCACCCCAAACCCGATCCCCATTCCACACCCTTCCCCAAAATAACCACTCGAAAACGGACTGTGACCCATAATGACACTTCTATCAGAGTTTTGCACGGGGTGGGGGAGGATTGCGTGGCATTATCTTCGAGGAGCTACTGTCTCAATAAAAGCCCCATTGTTATTGACTTAACTTAAATTCCACCATGGAAGAAACTCATGACTTATTTACCTTATGTGGGATTTGTGCTTAGTAGCAAATGTTCTGCTGAAATATCAGTCAAAAGGAGTTTAAACCTCTTTTGGTTGTCCAGGAAAGAGTGATTTAGTCATCATTACGATGATAGTAACAGCTTCCATTTACTGAATATTCACAATTTATAGGCACTCTGGTAGGCATTTGAATTATATCATTTCAATGATTTCTTTTTTTTTTTATCCTCACCCGAGGATATTTTTCCATTTTTTGTACAGATAGAGTGGGAGGGAGAGAGAGGAAGAGAGAGAGAGAGAGAAACATCGACACATCTAGTGGCTGCCACCCGCACGACCAACCAGGGCCGGGGACAAACTGCAACCGAGGTACATGCCCTTAGCGGGAACCGAACCCGGGTCTCTCCGGACCGCAGGCCGACGCTGTAAACGCTGAGCCAAACCGGCCAGGGCTCATTTCAATGATTTCTTCACAGAAAACTTATGAGGCATTATCATTTCTAGAAAACTGATTAAGTATTTGGCCAAAGTCACACGCTGTGGAACTAGGGGAAGCAGGAATTTAAACTCAGTCTTCAACTCCGAAGTATATAACGCTCCTAACCACTAGGTTACACTGCCTCCTAAGAGTTTCTGAGCAATTTTACATGATTTGTTTAATTTCCTGCAAAGATGTCAGAAAAGAATTATAGTTCCTATTTAAAAAAAAAAAAATTAGGTTTAGAATGGTTAAAGACTTAAAAAAGATTGATTAACTTCTATTTCTGGTATAAATCCCAGTATGGAAATCTGGCTCTTTCTATAACACTTCAGCTGTCTCAGTAAAAAATACAACTCAGGCTTTTTGGGACAAGTTAAGATGACATCCTCTGTTTGACTGTCATCTACTCCAATATGATCAACATGCGGAAGTAAAAGCATGCATATTATTGCCCACGTGAGTCTAACATTCATATTTTACTCGCATTTCAGAAACATACAGTTACCATAGCAACTCACAACGATTACTGTAGAAAAATCAAAACAAGCCTACATTTCTAAGTACAACAGATCGTGCTGCTTGTGAGATTTTTCTCTGCCAAAGTCTCATCTGACCAGTCCCTTAATCACTGGCTGCACTTTATCATCTTTATCAGCATTATCCACACCTCGAGTCTCAGGTCGCCCACAATGCTTGTGGAAGAATCACAGCACCGTTACTAAGAGTAATTGATAAGTAAGCACTGAGTCAGAAAAGCTCCTCCCCAGCCTATCGGCAAACCACTTCCATAAACCAGGGGGGATGAGAATGCTTCCTGATAAGTTGAACATTAGCTTCGGTTCTCTCTTCTGACCTATTAACATGCCAGGAATTTAAGGCATGAGTTGAATGATAATAAAACAACTGTTGTTTATTTGGGACTCGATACTGTCAAGTTCAGTGCTAAGAATTTTACATGCACCATCTCTAATTCTCATACCACTCAACATGGGCATTGTTATCTTTGTTGTGGCTATGAGGCCAGGAAGTCATGGAACATAGTAAGTATTTAACATTTACTGAGCCCTTACCATGTGCAAGGCACTATTCTCAGAGCTTCACATATATTATTTAATGTAATCATTAAATAACCATTTCAGATAGACCCTAGCATCCCTCTTTCATAGGTGAGAAAACCAAGGCAAAAAGAACCTTGTTTACAGTCATACAAACAGTAAATGGCAAACCAACTTCTTCAGAGTAGAATCACATTTGAGGAGGAGGCTAGGTTCTCAAGCTGGCATACAAGGGCCAAATTCACTAGCAATTATTTGAAAAAACTACCTTTGCAGAGAGCCCCTCTACCAATCACATCCATTAAAGCTACAGCTGTTTTGATTGAGAACCAGAAGCGGTGGTTGACTTGTATCCCAAACTGTGTTGAATGAAAAATACATGGCTTTAAATAATAAAAGCCTGCTCAGCTAAGAAAAATGTTCAAACGATCAAACTCCTAAGACTGTACATGGGCTAAGGCAAGAGCAGGTGCTTATTCCTGGAATACACTCTCACTGAGTGACTGGTGGACAGAATCCAGGCTTTAAATAGCCATTTAACTCCTGTTAAACTTAAATAACTAAACTTGTATAGGTTAAACACACTATAAAAGTTAATCAAATAAGGGGATGGAACCCAGGTATTTCTAACTTGAAAGCCCATCACATTTCCATCATGCTTCGTTTGGACCAACACCATAAATATTTATAAATAAATTCAACGAACATCTTTCCACTCATTCAAATTCCAACAAAAACACATATGTGTGTATGAGTGTGTGTGTGTGTGTGTGTGTATGCATTAAAATCTGCACCTTCCTGTGGCAACCCCACAACAAAGAGAATACTGTATTGAAGGTAGAAGGAAGTTAACGGATCTGGACAATGAATGGCCAGGTGGGTGAAGCCTGGTGGAACTCCAGAGACTAAGAAAGAAACATACAGGTCGTTGTTTTCAACCTGCCTCCCAATCATATCTTTAAGAGCCCATTCCACTGTCATCACAGACTAAGGTGACTGCTGTCCCCTCAAAGAAACCACCTTTGTTATTTTTTCTCAACTGATTAGTGTAGGAGAGACGGCAAGTCTTGCTGCTCAGACAATAGTAGGTGTATGCCTGGCAGAGGTCTGTTCATGAGAACATCGAAAGAATCTGTTCTAAATCAGAGTTTCCTTGTTTACATATGAAATATATTATGGGAGAAGCTGACAGAGTCAAACGACAGTGCCCTGCATAGGAATCAACACCTGGCTGGCGGCAGGGCCCTGCCTTCCATGGAGACACAGGTCACAATTGAAATGCCACACGGTACTGCTTCCAAATCCTTACTCCCAATGAACCTGCCTTAGAAGAATTCGACTGAATGTCAATCACTTGACATTATATGATATAATGAGTGCCCGTGAAAAGCATAAATTTAAGCAAGAAAATCTGTCTCCCTTACATTTTAAGGTATCATTACAGGTACTAGTCAAAATATGGACTTTTCTTAGTTATTAAGGAAAAACAGCTATTTGTATAATGAAAGGATTAACACAGTTTAATGTGTTCAACTTGCCTCTCTCACTGACATTTGTAGCTTAAATACTGAAACTTCACAAGCAGGAAATATAAAGCACTCTAAATATATTTATAGTGATACTCACATTTTATAGCATTCCTCGAAAATCAATTTTTAAAATGCCTTTTTGCAGGATGTAGTGCAAGCACAAAATAAAAATAACAAACTCCTATATAATTCTTAAGAGTTAGACCCCAAACAAAAGGTAATAAATTTGATGTCATGATACATTTTTCCTGTCACTAAAAATGCTCCTGTCCTTCAGAAAACACTCTCTAGCAATGACAACTGTCAGGCTTTTACCACTATCTCTTTGATTGGTTTAAGACGGGCATTTCTACAAACGGCTCTAGTGAATCTAACATCTTCCTGATTCTTCTTCACAAGCATCACCATGGCTGCCAAGAACAGGGAAAGAGCTTTCATGACTCAACCACAGTAACCTTATGAGGCAGTATTATCCCCATTTTACAGACGGCGGGGGGAAGCACAGGGAATCCAAGATGACACGGCTAAGAAGATCTCAAACCTCAGCTTGCCTCCCTTCAGAGGTCATGCTTTTGCCATTATTCTATTTAAACTCTCAAAATACCCTTGCTATGTTCAAGAAATGACTAAAAACTAATTCAAGTATTACCTGGATGAATGAATTGTATGACTGATGGTAACCACATAGCCAGCTCCTCCAACATCTAAGTAAGGGCCAGTCAAAGAAATCAAGCCAGGATTAGCTACTGCGTGGAGATACCTAATGGAGACCAAAGAAAGTCATGTTATTTTAGGGTATGAACAATTCTGTCAATTTCAAAGGAAAGTGAGCTTTATGGGGGAGTGGGTGAAAAAGGTGAAGGGATTAAGAAGTACCAATCGGTAGTTATGAAACAGTCACAGGGATGTAAAGTGCAGCACAGGGAATATAGTCAATAGTATCGGAATAACTATGCATGGTGCCAGGTAGGTACTGGAAATATCAGGGAACACTTTGTAAGGTACATGACTGTCTAACCACTATGCTGTACACCTGAAACTAATACAAAATAATACTGAATGAAAACTGTAACTTTAAAAAATGTTTTAAAATGGTCAGAAAAAGCCCTGGCCGGTTTGGCTCAGCGGTTAGAGCGTCGGCCTGCGGTCAGAAGAGACCCGGGTTCGGTTCCCGCTAAGGGCACGTACCTTGGTTGCAGTTTGTCCCCCCGGCCCTGGTTGGGTTGTGCGGGTGGCAACCACTCGATGTGTTCCTTTCACATCGATGTTTCTCTCTCTCTTCCTCTCTCCCCCCTCCCACCCTTTCTGAACAAAAAGTGGAAAAATGTCCTCAGGTAAGGATAAAAAAAAAATGGTCAAAAAATATTCATTAGAAATAGTGCCTATGTTATACTAAAACTCAAAAGGGTTTCTATCTTTTATGTCTGACCTTAGCATCAACACAAGAGGTCAAGAAAATCTAAAATGCTCCTTTAAATAAGATACCAAACACTGAATATATATGAGCTTTTAATAAGATCTGTAGCGTAGATGTTTTAGAGGCTAAAATAAAAAGAAATGAATGAATACGAAGTACAAACAAACATAATTTGGCACATAAAAATGCACCCTGGGTTGGTAAGGGTGGAGGGACAGGCAATGAAAACCACAGCCGACTCATTAGTAACTTAGTTACCAAGCAGCACAAGACTAGAAATCTTGTTTTTATGCCCAAGTTGCTCCTGTGCTATACCATCTGACTAGTGTTTGCTTTTGAAAATCAGAATAAAAAGAAAGCCCAGAAGTAAAAAAAAAAAAATTTTATTCCTATTGATTGTCCACAGGTCATACGTGAGCTGTAATTTCATGCCCCAGGCATGTGCAGTGACATTAAGCACACAGAGACACACCGTGCATGAGGTAGGAATCAAGTGACCCACTAGGAATTCAAATGGCCGAGCATAAAGCATTTCGGTCTCAAAATTTCAATGGAGAGATAAAAACCCTGTACACAGAGGAAACCCACAAAGCTGTTGTTAATACTTAAAAAAAAAAAAACTATTCAAAAACATGTTTTCACTGCCATGAAAGTATTTTCTCTAATGTGACTGCCTGAAGTTGCTTTATAGTATGTACTTATCATGTCTCTCCAGGATTTGGGGGGGAACCTTGGATAAGGGAAGCCCCTAAAACTCACCATTGTCTCCTAGTGGGATCAAATGCTTTGTCCATGAGGGAACCAGGATAAATTCTGAGGACGCCATTGGGTGTTGCTATGTAACGGCGGACAATGTAAGTGTTCAGGCTGCTCATTTCCATTTGTGTCATCCATTCATCTGTGACGTGGCTGGTAGCCATTACTTCATTTCTGACAGAGAACTGGGAAACAAAGGCAGACACAGCAGGGGCCCCGTAAGACTCGCATGAGAAGAGTGGACGGCCCAAAGCTCTCTGGCAGAGAAGCCAAGCCCAATTACTTCTTAAAAATCTTTCCACGGCCAAACTGGGTGAAACAGAGCTTTCTGAAATACAGTCAGTGGGTGTGTGGATGTGACTTCCTCTGCTGTTCGTTCTAGTGCGCTTTCTGCGTTTGAGAGGCAAGATCCTACAGCGAAGGCTCTCTCTCTCTCTCTCTCTCTCTCTCTCTCTCTCACACACACACACACACACACACACACACACACACACACAGCCCAGTGAAATCTCTGCTCCTTAAACTTCTTCATATCTATCTCAGCAGACAGTATGGGCACTTGAACTCTTTCTCCTGGGAAAAAAGGAGTCTGGGAAAGTTTCACAGGTCTCTAAATCATACCCCCGACCTAGAAAAGCCCTCGTGCATCTAAGGCCTGAAAGAGATTCTTCATCTGCCTCCTGGGGCTTCTTAATCCATCAGAAGGGTCATCACCAACCAACTTCCTCGGGGCCACACTCTTTCTGGCTCTCCCTCCAGCTGAGAGGCACAGATCCAGAGCTGGGCTTCCCACTTCCAAGGCTGGCAGCCAGCACCCCCTCCCAGGCCCGGGCCCCACGCCAGCACTCACTTTGAGCCCCGGGTTGGCAATGAGGCGGGTGTTGTCGCTGAGGTAGGCTGTGTAGTGCTCCACCATGCGCTTTGTCTCGGGCTGGCTGAGGTGCTCATAGGGGGAGGAAAAGCTGCCAGCAGACAGCATGACGGTTGGACTTTCTGAAAGAGAGCAGACCAAGCAGGCCTGAGAACGCTGAGACTTCACACAGAAGCATCCCCAAGGCCCTGCCAATCTGCCCGCCACAGGGGCTTAGACTTCCATGAGGAAAGCAATGAACTAAAAAGGGGAAAAGCCACATTTTCTCCCTTCAGGATACTTGCAGTCATGAGGGAACCAGAACAGATACAAGTACAAACACATACAAGTGCCTGAAACGGCAAATGTTCAGAACACCTTAGACCTACACATCATATAGGGATTGAGGAGACAGCACATGACTGGGAGACAGACTGGGTTGAATCTGGGCCCCACCACTTCCTGGCTGCATTATGCTGGGCAAGTTGTAATATATGTGATGGTTTCATCATCTGCAAAAGGGGGGGGGGAGAATCACACCAACCTTATAGAGTTATGGTGAGAATCGTATCAGTTAATACACTATGTAAAGCAGATGAGCTCAATGTGCAGCACTAGGTGCTCTAAGTGTTAACTACCGTTGTTCACACAGGTGTTATGACCTAGGAAGAAGGAAGAATGGAATCCTGGAGTCCATGCAAAAATCAAGTGGAAAACATTATTCTCACAGACGGGGATTCTGTTGTGGGTCACTTTCTGTTGCTCATGGTGCCCTGTTTCCTGTGGCTCAGTTATCTGCAGCTGTGCCAGACATTGCACGTACAAACAAATTAGTAAGAACAGCTGAGGCCTAACAGGATGGGAATACCTTCCTCCAGGGAGGGCTGCTGTTTGATTCTGCCAGGTGCCGCCCCCTGGATGAGGCAGGTGGTAAGGTGGAAACAGTTCCCTATAAGGAGACCGGTACTAGCCTCAGTGATGCAGGGTGAGACTTTGGTAGTCAACTGGTCCATGACTAGTTGATGCTTGAGGTCCCTTACTTAGACCACTCAGATCACAGGAATCCCAAGTCAAGAGTTGATTTAGTTTCAATTCACCCTTACCCTCAAGATGTAGTCCAGTAAGACCTTTGCTAAAAACATGATTGCGTGTGGGGGTGGAAGGAGGTGGTTTATTTATTCCTGGGTACCTGGGATTGATTTTTGCTTCTCTCCCTAGCCACAGAAGCTACTTAAAAGCACAGTTTAATTTCAGTTGTTTCTTCTGGGTTGGTGAATATGTGCACCACAAAAGCAGCTTGCAAGTGTTGACTTCCTTCTCTGAGTTCTTAGATTCTCCTAGACTTTGACCCAGTACCTAACTATCATGTTGGTTCTTTGATGCTTTTCAAGAGGATTTTTTTGAAAAGGATTTCCATCCGGGAGTTTTATTGTCCACAGTAGGATGGATCAGAATGAAATAGTCCACCATGACCAGAGATAATGCTTCTAGTAATGTTGTCTCATTGAATTCTCATGGTATCAGCAGGGGGTAGCCTGGGAGATTATTATTATATTCATATCAAGGAGAAGAAAGCCAGAGGCTTAAAAAAGGTTAGACTGCCTAGCAGTGTGCTGTAGATTCGCACGTGCTCATGGGCCTTCTGTGCAGGGATGTGCCAGAGAACAGGGACTGTCCCTGATCTTAAAGAGCTGAGGACCCAGTTGGAGAGAATGGGATTTAAAAGAGAGAGAGAGAAAACAATATAAGAAGTGTCAAAAGGTAACACATAATACTTCAGGGACAAAAGAGCAGGGCCAGAGAGAAGAGGACAAGAGATACCTTGGGGAGCGAGCTTTTCTTGTAGTGACAGGGACGGGGCATTTGAGAAAAGCTTGCCACAGGTCAGATGAACTGAGGGAGAGAGACAACCAAGCAAGACAGAGAACCCAAGGCTTCAGGTCTAGGAGGCAGACACATACACTTGTACACATACATATATACTTAACTGCAGTGGATTATCTACGCTAAAAAGTTCTTCACCTCTCTGTGTACCAAGAAAGACAATGTCCCTCCTTCAGCTCTCCTGCAGGGAGCTCTGATACACATTTAACATATTGCCTCGAAATCTCCATTGCCAATGAAATGAGATGAATACCACTTAATTGCCATTCCCTTTTTATTATATTCTAATTATCTTGCTTCATTTTCATTACCCACTAATACTAAACTGCCCTCGATGACCCCTCCACATTGTCCTGGGGTGGGGCGTTCTCCTGACAAGGAGAACGTGGGTGGTAAGGGTGCCCAGTGAAAATCAACCACTGGCCTGAGGTCCCCGTGACGTAGAACCAGTCCAATTGTCTTCTGGAAAGAATTTGAGTTGATAAACTACATTTTCTGAGAACCTCTATTAGGCAGCACTGGGCAACTGGAAATACAACGCAATTCCCAAATGTAATAAAAAATTTTCCAGTAGCCACGTTAAGGAAAGTAAAAAGAAACAGGTTAATTTTATTAGTGTATTTTAGGGAATCCCATATATACAAAACATTATTACTCTAACATATAATCAATATAAAAAGCTAAGTCTTTTACACTTATAGTGAATCCCAACTTGGACTAGTCACATGTCAAGTGCTCAAGAGCCACACGTGGCTAGTGGCTGCCACACTGGACAGTGCCGCTGGGAGGGGTTACCCACGGGATGCAAAACATCCAGGCCTGAGTGTTTTTCTCATCCAGGAAACTGCTGCACTGCACTGTCCAGACTTCAGAACAGTCACCTCATGCTCCCCAGCAGTGATGCCGATTGGGCCCCCACAGCACTTAACGAGAATTACGCACATCTTAACTTTTCAGTAAGCATTTCTTAAAAATGTGAATTAAAAGGGTGTACAAACTCTTGTATAAAAAAAACAAAGACAAATCCTAAATTCAAACAAACAAACAAACATAAATATCAGCCTTTTCTGATGACATCTGTGGCCCTCTACACGCTGTCTACATGGCAGGACTGTCCTCGAAGAGACGACTTCGCCTGTCCTGCTCTCCTGTCTCACACCCAGACGGAATTTAAACAAGGAACCAAACACACTCTCGTAATCTACAGACTGGTGCTTCTGTCCATGACCTTCTTCCCACCCGTGCCCCCCTACTCAGTTAGCCCGCTGTCTAATGATTCTTTGTTATGACCCTGAGTATTTATTTCAATAGTGAAAAAGAGAATAACTGTTGTACAGAGCTGTGAGTATACTGTGTTGTATTGACAGCATACACCCCAAATGCCCAGCCGGGGCCTGGCACATGCAAAAACAGGAGGTGGCATCCCGGTCCGGGAGGGACATGAGTCCCATTTCAGCCTTGCCGCTGTGTTACCTCGGGAACAGTCTGTATTTTTGATACACCCAAATGTCATCCTCTCTAATAGTTCAACTCAGATGATGAATGTTAAACACCTGGCACATAGAAACAAATTCCCTTTTGCTTTCTTTGAACGGCTTGCCTATTTCTCAAGCTCCTTTGAAGACAGGGGCCTATGGTAGACACAGATATGCTATATGCACACAGTTATGCTACCATGGGACTCCTTTTACCATCTCGCCACCTCCTACCCTGTATCCCCCCCCAAATCATCATATCCCCTGATCCCCATGTCTGGATGCTTGAGACTAGTAGGCCATATCTGCGACTCTCTTTAATGGGCTGTCTTTGGGCAAAAGGCTGAAAGTAACTATGGAATATGACAGTCCAGCACCTTTCTTGAGTCTGGGAAAACTCTACAGCATCATTTATATTCCAAAGCCCCGCTCCAGGATCAGCCTGAGTCTGGAACCTACCTACAGTTAAACTCTTGCTTGCTTTCTCCTCCTTCCTTATCCCGCTTCCCTTACTCTGTCGCTCATTTCTTCCGAGAGCCCTTCCTTAATAAACCGTCCACACACAAATCCTCATCTTGGTGTCTGCTGGAGAACCTGACCCCAGGCAAGGCCTCAAACTGTTTTCATAATTGTGTCCCCAAACTGGCAGGGCCGGCATGCTACATCATTTTTATTTTTATTCAAGCTGTTTTTTCTGGTGAGCTGTTATGAGTCAGACCTCAGAGGACGCCGAGAAGCGCAAGACTTTACCTAGAGTGGCCAGCTGCTTGAAGTGGAGGCAAGCACTGGGCTGGCCCAGGAGGTCCAGCCGGTGGTACAGCAGCTTGCTGCTGGGGACCGTGTTGAGGTTCTTCAGTTGTTTGACAGGTATTTCTGGTTGTATCACCACAATGCAGAGAATAAAAGAAGTGTCTTGTACCTAGAAAAAATCGATAAAGAATTTCTAGTACAGAAAATGAAGGTTGCTGGGAATAGTGACTTTGCCCTCCGCTGGATTCTGCTGTCTAAGTCTCCTCTCCCACATGGAAAACATTTGATGAGTGAATGAAAGACACGAAGACAGGATGATAGGCAATCGCTCTGGCCGCAGATTACATTTTCTGTTTCCTTTCTGATAGAGGGAAATTAAAGTGTGTCACAGAAAATCATGAAGCTCATGAAGGCATGAGTAAATCTAGTCCCTTTGAAACAGCGACCCCAGCCCTCTTTTGCTTCTTTAAACTAGAATGTAGCATGAGAACATAACCGTTATTTCTGATGGGGCTTGAAAAGCATTTAAAAAATATATTGCTGGTTTCGCAATGAGTGTTTCAAGAACTACCTGTTCTAAAAGCAAATTTTGACTCCACACAGAGCCCATACAGAATCTGGTTAGTCATTCTATTCTCCACGTTCTTTTCTTGGTGGGAGGTGACCAGGACCGCCGACTCGGCTCCCTGAGCCTGCCTGACTTGTCACCTAAGATGAGCTTAAGCAACGTGCTCTAGTTTAGCCTCAACTATGAAGCACATATGTGGGAACACTTTCAAACACACTTTGCTCCTAGAAAGAAATGCCTGCACAGAATTCGGTGGGGAAAACGTCCACCAAAGCATCAAGTCAAGCTACTTGGTTCTAGCTCCTTGACTTAAAAACACAAGAAAGCCAAACTGCTTAAGCCCTTCGTCTTAGGCGATGGCCACAATCTATTTAAAAGATGGTTCGTAAATAAACGAAAAGTCAGAACTAAGGCAGCTCCAATGATTTACTTAATGATCACGGAGAAAATTTTAACGCGGCAGGTTAGAGTTACGTGTAATTTAGGGTTTATGAGGATGGTGGCAGAATCTTTTTCAACACCGAAGAAATTTGCATCTTTCTGGAAGTGCTTTCAGGTAGTGCTGCCAAGGATATTCAATTAGATTAGCAAATTTAATCCTTTCCCACCACCCACAAAATTAGAAAATGACAGGGTGTTCCCAAGTGGCATGTACTATTTCCCCTCCTCTTCTCACTGAGTCATGCTTCAGAGTTTCCTGTGCCGCGTGCTCCAAGGAACCAAAAGATAAAAGCTTTACCAGCATGATGAGAATATAATTTTATAACTGTGTTTATTCCATAAGAGAAAAATAAGAAGTGACCCCCAAGTCCTGGACTATTGGGGTTATCACTTTGTAAGGTATATACATGTCTAATCACTATGTTGGTACAACTGAAACTAACATAATATAATATGTCAACTGTAATGGAAGAAAACAAAAAAAACAACAACAAAGTTACCCTAGAACACTTTATAAATAGTTCATAGGTAGAAAGTAAAATAGATTTCAATACAGGTCATTCTATTGTGTGTGTGTTTTTTTTATCCTCACCCAAGGACATTTTTTTCCCATTTTTTGTTCAGATAGAGTGGGAGGGAGAGAGAGGAAGAGAGAGAGAGAGAGAAACATCGACATGAAAGGGACACATCAAGTGGCTGCCACCCGCATGACCAACCAGGGCTGGGGACAAATGGCAACCGAGGTATGCGCCCTTAGCGGGAACCGAACCCGGGTCTCTCTGGACCACAGGGTCTAACCGCTGAGCCAAACCAGCCAGGGCTCTATTGTGTTCTTATCCGAAAAACACAGTCTCTGCATCCGGGGCTATAATGTATCCGGAGGGACTGACAGCCCACGGGATTCGTGTTTTGAAGGGAAGCACGGCTGTGGAATACAGGACCACTGTAATCCCTTCAGATCGTCCACACTCCATCCCTCCCGGCATGCAGCCCCTCAAATGCCCGAAGTGGACTTGGGTTCCATGGGGACAGAGTAGTAATCTCTTAACACTCCTCACCTAATTCCTCGCGTTATATTCAAATCCATTCCGTGAAATAATCCATCATATCTGCTACATGTATGGATGCCAAACAGTTCAATTATTTTCAGCATAAGCTAAGCCTATTTGGATCATACTGAGCAAAGGAATCCATTTTATTCCGGAGGAGAAGATGCGCACCTGCTCACCTTTCCCTGAAGTAACTCAAGAGAGCTTTAAAATAGTTACTCTTTTGCGGGGTAACCAGGCCAACCCTTTCACCTCCTATCTCATTATTTATGATCTCTTCCATTTTTCACGTAATAGGGATGTTCTTGACAATCTTAGAACTCGGAGAAAGCTAATGCTTCTACCTGAAGTGATTACATGATCATGTCCATTTGGCAGAGCAGAGTGGCCAGAATTTACCAGTATTGCTGGAAAAAACCAACCCTATCTTAACAAGGTAATACTTCTTCCCAAAATGTTAACATTGGGTTTATTTACTCTATAAAGAGGGTCTTAAAAATGCCTACATTTCCTCCTTTCACTTTCAATTCCAATACATATTAAGATATATTTTCCCAGGATGTAACTGAGTTGCTTTCAATCAGGTTATACTGGAGGTAACCAATCTCCAATTTCAAATATAAACATATTTTTCAATCAGGTATTCTACTGTTTGGCTCAACCTCTGATGTGAAAACTAAACAATTCACCTCTATTTAAAAACTGTATTAAAACTGTATTAAATACAGTTGAAATATGAAAAATAAGGGTAGATGGTCCAATCACTTTAAAAAAAAAAAAAAAAAAAATCCTGAAAATGAGCTGACTCAGAGAATTTAAAAAAGACTTTGACCTTCCTCAAATCTGTACTATCAAACAATAAACTAATAGTAGGATTAAGCTTGCAAATGTAACTTTCTCAGAAAGCTTCATTTATTATTTTAATTATTTTGTTTGCTTTGGTTTTCAGTGTAAAATCACTGTTGCCATAATGATCCTTTAAGAACCAAACAAGAAGGTCAGAGGAGAGTCACATCTAAACCACGCTGGCCACTTCTAATTCTTGTGATTCCCATTCCAGACACAGACACTGTATGAAGCTGTTTAATAGTCTGGTTAGAGAGAGATCATTCTTCTTTAGTCTTCTCAGTTCATAGTATGTTCAATAAGAAGTTCTTAATGGCCCTGGCCGGTTTGGCTCAGCAGTTAGAGCGCCCGCCTGCGGTCCGGAGAGACTCGGGTTCGGTTCCCGCTAAGGGCATGTACCTTGGTTGCAGTTTGTCCCCGGCCCTGGTTGGTCGTGCGGGTGGCAGCCACTCGATGTGTCCCTTTCACATCGATGTCTCTCTCTCTCTCTCTCTTCCTCTCTCTCCCTCCCACTCTGTCTGTACAAAAAAAATGGAAAAATGTCCTCGGGTGAGAAAAAAAAAAGAAGTTCTTAATGAAGGGATGAATAAATATCCACTTGGGATCAACAGGTTAAACACCAGATGTGGCCATCCAAGGGAGTGACAAGGATGACTGCATTTGAAATTCAGTGATTAAAATTTGACCATAAAAAGGGAAGTTCTTCTTTCGGTCAGTTCCAGTATCAGGGGCCCCATAACAGCAGTGTTAAGTTCTGCCTGGAGAGGGCGCTAGGACGAAACAGGAGTAATATGCAGTGTGTTGGGTGCTGGTTCTCTGTGGCCCCCCATCTGAGTGAGTCTGGTAAAAACAGGTGAAGTGGGCACCACAAGTATTGGCTACAGTGTCAGCGCATTTGTGGTGCCTCGGAATTGTCCAAGTTCTAATGTGCAAGTTTCTTTCCCTTGGAATATGTTAGTAGAAGGCATTTATGCTTTCATCTCTCTTTTGTAAACGCCCAACTTCCACAATCTGAATTTAAAAAGATAAAAACTAACCGGCCATAACCTAATGTGTATTACCAGAGGACTGTCGAAGAAATTGGATCCATCCCTATACCACACCGCTATCGAATGTGCACACCTATGAACACACACACGCACTGATATATATTATGCTTGTGTGTGGATACAGATTTTCTGGAAATTGACCAAAGTGATTATTTTTGAGAATGGGGGTGGGGTGGGTAGTCAAAGCTGGGTGGGAAGGGCATAGTTTATGGTCTACTTTATTATCCTTTTCTATGGTTTGATTTCTTCATCATGAACAACAGCTGGTTTTATAAATAAAAAAGGAGAAAAAAAATTATAAAACATCCGAAGCATCTCTTCTTTTCTAAACCGCTTTAAAACTGACTGGTGACAGCATCCGACGCGGGGTCCCGGGCACGGCGGCTCCGAGCAGCGCAGCCGGCGGCCGCCCGCACTCACCATCTTCCAGGCATAGCTAACGTTGTAGGCCTCCTTCCCGGCTTCCCTCAGCTTGTTGATGTGCCAGGACAGGGACGAGTTCACAGGCACAGCGATGACCTGGCTGCCCAGGGGGAGGCTGCGTTGGCAAACAGAACGAAGTATTTCAGGCGAAAGATAAAATGAAGCACTTACTTAAAGGCTGGGAGGAGGCTGGGAGTCAATGGCCACCTCCTGATGTTGAAACGCGGTGCAGCTCATCACTTTTGAAAGAAATGGGAGTTTTCAATTCTGTAAAAGCATGATGTCAGCTCTGCGCTAGAAACATTCCTGCCTCTCTCCCTCTGGCCCCCGCCCCCCTCATTCTAATTCTTTCCAGAAACTATGTTGTCTCAAATCACTCCGTTATTACTTTACAACCAACGAGCTCAAAGACCCGTTTCTCTATAGGTTACCATCTGCCAAAATAATGTATCATGGTTGGAAAGACTCCAATCGGTTCTTTATTTCAGGAGAGAATGTGGTATAGGACTGTGCTGTCAACTTGGAATGGACACCACCTTGCCAAGCGTCTTCTGGCATGTTGCAGAGTCGGTCCTTACCTTAACCTTTCACTTTGCCAACATTTTCCAACTTGGTACAAAGAGAGTGTTCTTTCTCAAATGAGATGACCTACATCTGATTTTACAATGAAAGGCAATGTAAACACAGAATTTGATTTACAAGATGTCTCTCAAGTTAAGAGGCCTTACCTGTTATTCAAAAAAGATATTTTTGCCTATTATTCTTAGAAAAAAATTAGTTGAGCACACTTTTGATAACATTAAAATAATTTATATATACTTGTTTCATCTCCTATAATAAACACTCACATTTGACCTCAAAGGATCCTCTTGTCAGAGAAAAACAAAATACTGTGACCCCCACTTTTTCCTTACCTTAGAATATTTTGCCGAACCAACTCAAATTTTGGGATATTTTCATAATGAATGATGTCAGTATGAAGAGGGGGTTCTGATAGTAAATAGGGCCTGGTAAGAGATGGGTGCATAAGTGTATATCCTGAAACAAGAAAACAAAAATACAGGCTGTGGAAAACATGTTGCAGGAAGTCATGAATCTAATAAAGTGCCTATCACAGGTCTGAAGTGTGGGACTCTCCGGGCCGGCTGCCCAACACTCAACTTCTCAGTATGTAACTCACCAGTGCCATAAAAACTGAGCTCATTTTATGTGTTCTGGTATAAAACCCCTGAAGTGTAGAAAGATGTGTTAAATTATCAAACATCTGTCTAATCAAGAATCTTTTGGAGGTACTGGTCATTTAGTCTTCGTTTTATAAAATGTTGTAATCTATCGTAAAAACCTTAATGCCAATAAATCCAAAGATAACAATACAGATGAAACACACACACACACACACACACACACACACACACACACACCCTCAAAGGATCACATTCTATATGTCACTCAACCCTCAAGTCCAATTTCCTGATGTTACAAATAACTGTTTCATACTCCTCAATACAACAGGATCCATTCTGCCACCTTTATGGTGTTCTACTGTAAATAGTCCAAATCATACTGTGTTGGTAGAAATACTACCTACTTTGTTAGGATCAGAATATCTACAGATTATTTTTTTCATGTTGCTAAAGAAATTATCCTTTCCCATGATTAACTTTTAGCAGGTTACCTTTGTCATCTATGAGGAAAGTATAGGAAGCCAAAGAGTCTTGGTAATAAGTCACGTCTTCAAGGATGTAAGCCAGGTTCACATCCACACCGACGATTCCCAGAAGTAGGTTTCCAAAATAACAGGGTTTACTCACAGTCATTATCAAACCTATGGGTTGAAAAGAAGAAAAATCCAAACAATAGCAAAGAAGGACAAAGACTGGAGCTGTGCTCTGGAGATGGGAATCATTAAGTCTAACATCAACCATCTCGTTTCTCCTGGGAAGAAGTTTCCTGTGTAATCCAGTAACCACACACTGCCTTTTCAGACAGCGTACGTGAGTGAGTGCAGGGAGTACAGTCTGTTGGGGTTCAGCGATCTCTGTTAAACTGAGGCAATGTGTACATTTTCCACTATTTTTCTCCTTAAAGGATGTGACATTCCAGATGAGTGCAAGATATCAGCAGCACTTAATACATCTTTCTACTTCCTAGAGTAGGAAACATTCAGCTAAACTTGAAAGACCACTGAACAAGGTATCCAAAAATATGGGTTCTACCTGGCTATGCCCCTCACGTATCATACATACTTCATTCAATATAATTTCTCTGAGGATTGATTTTCATGCCTGTTCAAAGGACAAAGTAATAACTGCTGTACTGATTTCTAGGGGTTGTTAGATGAAAAGACATTATGGATAAAAGAAAGTTTATAAGGTACTATGTTTCATTAATGTATCCTATCCAAAAAAACAAGAAGATGGAGAGCAAAAACTCTTAGAACTCTGAGTAACTATGGGAGACAGACACTAAGTTTCCAAAGGAATATATTTCTTGTCACTTGGGCCAGGGATTTATAAACTTTTACATAAAGAACCACACAGTAAATATTTTAGGCTTTGTGGGCTAGTCTCTGTTACTCATACTTAGTTTCTTTCTTTTTTTTTTTTTTAAATCAAGCTTTAAAAATATAAAAACCATTTTGGCTCACAGGCCATATACGAACAGTAGGATGCTCGGGGAAAGAGAAAAGCAAGGGGAGGAAGACGGACAGGTGAGAGTGTGAACAGTGAGTCCGCACATGACCTGGGCATCAGCAAAGCTGAACTCTCCTAGTCTTACTACTGTGTTGGATTCAGTTGTGCCACCTCTTCAAGTTAGACTCTCCAGGTGTCAGATGGGGAGCTGAGACAAGATGATCTTTAGCACCCCAAACAATTCTACAATCCTATGGCTCTAAATACAACTCAACACAAAAAGATGAAGCGCTTCTCTGCATCTTCCCCTGTGCTTTCCTGTGCTTGATGACACGTCCGTGCCTTGGCAGTGTATCAGAAAGCCACCCTTCTATAAACACACAGGAAAGGGCTTTGGGTCCTCTCAAAGATTTCTACAAAGGACAGGCTTCCACACAGAGAACTGGGTACGATGTCCACTCAGAGTATTACCGAGTCCCTGTGATTGTCAAGGCCAATTACATGCATCATATAGCAGGAGGAAGTGGATACAACACTGAAAAACTCTGCAAAAAGTTATGCTCAGTTACAAGACAAATACGTTCTGAGGACATAATGTACAGTGTGGTGATGGAGTCAACAATACTGTATTATATATTTGAGAGTTGCTAGGAGAGGTCTTAAAATTTTTCATTATGAGAAAAAAAATTACAACTATGTGGGCTGATGGATACTAACCAAGCTTACTGATCTGTCTTTCTCTCATCAGACTTAAACACTTGTTGAGGGTGGGAGGTGTGCCTTAGCCACCACTGACTGACATGACGTGTGGCACTCCCTAATGTTGGTTAAATGAATAAAAGGCCACTTGCATTTAAGTCCTGACATTTCCCTACAAAAGAAGGTAACCTTGCTTGGCCGGTGTAGCTCAGTGGTTGAGCGTCCACCCACCACACCAGGAGGTCACTGGTTCGATTCCCGGTCAGGGCACATGCCCAGGTTGTGGGCCCAATCTCCAGTGGGGAGCAGGCAGAAGGTGGCCAATCAATGTTCTCTCCCATTGATGTTTGTATTTCTCTCTCCCTCGCCCTTCCTATCTCTCTAAAATCAATAAAGTAAGAAAAAAAAAAGAGAAAGTCACCTTATCTAAAGGTGGATGTTTTTATTCTATACTGTTCTGTGGGCCCTGCCAGAAACTGAATGTATAAAAAAATTACAGTGTAGCAGCAGCTACCACATTTCTTCCTTATAGGAAAAAAAACATGTTTACCCAATTCCAGAAAAAGCACTCTTTGTAGACTTGTTACTTTTTATACACGAGTTATCTCTGAATATCTGTATTCGCGAAAGCCCCTAGTTACTGAGACGTGGAAATAAAATCTCATGTGGTGATGGTGTCTGCCTGGCTAGTAATTAACTGCCTCTTCGATCTGCTCCATCAAGGAAAAAGAGAGGGAAGGGTGTGGGAAAAGAGTAAGAAAATAAGAAGGGAAAGAAAAAGGTCGCACTTCCACTGAGCACACACCACTGGCCATTCATCTGGATGCTTTCCAAACACGAGTGCAATTTCTTCACAACTGCATGACGGGAAATATGATTTTCCCCATTTGACAGACTAAGAAATTTAATCATGTGAAGGCTAAACACTTCACCTGCCTGGTGACAGTAGGGTGATGATGATAATAGTAATAATAACAGAAGTAAAATAAATTATGGGCAACTCGTGACATTAGAATGATAGTGATGATAGCAATAATAACAAAGGTGAAAAAAATAGATAAAGTAAGAGCAGTAATTATTATTGAGAGGAATGCCAGGCATTCCTAATCTTATGATTACTTCAGACTCTAAATTTAGACTCAGAGACAGAGAGCAGGCTGAGCGGTCTGGGGTGGGGCGCTGGGTGGGGGGAGGGATTGAGAGAAAAGAAGAAAGAACTCACGGACACAGACAACAGCGTGGTGACTGCCGGGGACAGGGGGCGGCGGGGGGAGGTGGAGGAGGGTATGGGGGTGATAAATGGTGATGGACAGAGACTTGACTAGGGATGGTGAACACACAATACAGTGTACAAATGATGTGTGGTAGAATTGTGCACCTGAAACCTGTTTAATTTTATAACCAGTGTCACTCCAATAAATTCAATAAAAAGAAAAAAAATTATATTTTTAACAGATGACCAAATGGGAATTAACAAGGTTAAATGTTACCAAAGACAACAACTCAGCTTAAGAGTGGGGTCTGAAATCCTCGCTAAAGCCAGGCCTGTGTTTGTTGACTGCACCATGTTGTTCTGCCGTTAACGCTGAATCCTAAGCACGTGTGAGCTTTATTTAGCATCAGCCATGCAGAGTGGCTGTTCAGTTCCAATTCCCTAGCTCCTGGATACTGGAGAGCCCTCGCATAGCCTCCGCAGCAGTTCTACTGACCCTTTATGTCGACTGAGCCAGGGCATGAGGAAGAAACAGGACGGGGACACAGCAGGAGGAGGCCATCCTCTGGGCAGAGCATGAAACGTCTACTCCCGTGCTTGCCCAGACCCTCTCATGCTCACGTGCAAATACCGAACAACATTAAAAATTACTCTCTTGGTGGACTCACGCCCACTTCTTTTTCCTTTCTTTTGGCAGGAAGTTTCCTCCAGACTCACCATCTCCCATCTCATCAGAGAAGGGGAGGCTAAAGACAGCCTCATCGATCATCCGGTTGGGAAGGTTGGTGTAGAACCTGCCGACTGTGGTCTCCAGGTTGCTCAGCTGGTTCAGCACCATCATGCTACCTTTAACCACGGGCAAGGCTGTCCGGTCCAGCACGCCATACTTCCCTGAGTTCTGTTCTGCCAGATCTCTCAGAAAAGCCAGCTCTTTCAGGCCAGTCACCCCGTCTGAAAGGGAAAGCCAAAGGAAAACAATGTAGAGCACCGTGGTCAATATTTCTACAACTGCCTTGGCACTGAGATCTAATGAGAGCATGGCCGAGCTCTTGTGATACCTCTGCCCAGATGATGACCCCTGTGCCAGAGGCCTTTGCAGAGATAACCTGAACTCATGACACCGACACCACCTCCTCTGAGGAGCAAAGACCGATGCACAGCCTTTCTCCAAACAGCCAAGAAGGCAAAGGGATTCTTCAGAAGGCAACGATAAGCCCTGGCCGGTTTGGCTCAGCGGTTAGAGCGTCAGCCTGTGGTCCAGAGAGACCCGGGTTTGGTCCCTGCTAAGGGTATGTACCTCGATTGCAGTTTGTCCCGGGCCCTGGTTGGTCGTGCAGGAGGCAGCCACTCGATGTGTCCCTTTCACGTCGATGTTTCTCTCTCTCTCTTCCTCTCTCTCCCTCCCACTCTACCTGAACAAAAAATGGAAAAAAATGTCCTCAGGTGAGGATAAAAAAAAAAAAAAAGGCAACGATGAAAAAAATACACGAGTAAATAAAGAAGTCCTATTTAGCAGGGATGCGTTCTCCCTTAAAAGTTTAATTGTAATATTTAAATTATTTTTCTGCATTGAATATTTGAAAGCAAAAGTCATAACTAAGAAGTCTGCATTTAATTTAAATTAGTAGATGAGGTTTGTAAGAGTCTGAAAGGGTAGAGGTTTACCGTCTCATTTCTTACCTCCTCGCCTATTCAACACTTGCCAAAGTCGCATGCAGCCAAATGAAAGAATTATGGATTGCATTTAGGATGCTTCCAAACTCTGTGTCTTTAAGGTCATTTTAATTACAAATGTTTTCATGCTTGGTATTGTTAGGATAATACTGGATTTGATTTATTTAATGTATTTTTTTTTTATGTTTAGATGGTTTTAAAACTTTGTAAAAGATTTAGGCATACTGGGGTGTATTGTTCTACAACATCTGTAATCCATAGCACAAAAATAAATTTAATAAACCTTTTAAAAATTTTGGTTTGCTATTGTTGGAACACAGTCAAAAGGATTAGTAACTGATCCCATATGGGTACCACTGTAAACAAATCCGAATGATTTCAATCACTACTGAGATTCTACCACTGAGTTTTTAAAAGGCTTTGCCTCATGTTCTTGTACTCTTCAGTTATTTAAAAAAAATCTGAACAGTTCGTGGTTCACCTACCTTATGTGACATTATCATTTCTAAATAATGGGTGTATATAGTTCTAGCCTTGGAAGTCTTTCTAAAGTCATGGCAGGATCTAATGGATATCATTTCTTTCTTAACATATTGTATTTTAATAACTTGGCTTTTGCTCCACTTATGCAATGCTTAGGAAAGTCAGAATCAGATTATTGTTTCCTCTGCTTGGCATAAAGTTAAGATGGGGTTGGCGGTGTGAGTGGTATATTCCAGAGTAAAAGACAACACAAAAGACATGACTGATCTCTGATCCCTGACCGTACACCCTTGAGAAGCTCAGAAGCTCTCAGAGGTGAATGAGAAAAAGAGACAACTTAAGGCAATAAGTACATTTCTTTCATTGTCATACGCTGCTTGGTTCTTTCAAAAATGTAAAAGTAATAAACAGGAACATCTACTAGTTAAAGAAGAACAGAGAGGGATACAAGGCTATCAAAGTTTGGAAATTTTATGTCACTGTGTTGAGATGTTATGCAGGGCTGGCAGTAGGGTAACAGACTGGTTAAGTATGCTGGATGGTCCCATTAACACAGTCATCCTGGAAACTACATTTCCCAGAATCCTCTTTCATTTATGCTTCCGGGTTAGAGGTGGCCAAAGTGAAGTACTGTGAGATTTAAGAGGAAAAGCGAGATGGTGAGAGACAGACACAGAGGAACCAGAATGTCCTGGTTTGCTCCACTTACTCTGATCTGACTCAGTTTCCTTTCTCAGCTGTTGGCTTCTCACCAAGGGCAACCCCAGGCCCACTCCAGATGCTTCCTTCGCTTAGAATTCACAGGGGTAGCAGCCACGAAGAACCAATACCCTCCCACAGACTTCCACACCAGACCTCCTAAGCGGTCTTCACTATTTCTAGCCTTTAGGTACCCCTCCAAGCTCCGACGTGTTCCCCCATACCAGAGCTGGCTACAAAACGTGGGGTTGTCAACTCTTCCTTTTTGAACTCTTCTCTACTTTCCCCACAATCCTGTACACAGTAATCCTGATGAGAAGTCTGCTACACCCGAGTTCTCAGCGCGGCTCTGCTTCCGCACGTGAAGCCTGGCTGAGAAAGTCAGTGCAGGGAGCAGGGCTCAGAGCGGCGTTTGGAGAAAGCGGCAGTGAGCCTGTGTGTCCGGCTACACTAAAGGGAGACAGGGATGGTTAGAGGAAAGTAACCAGAGGTTTTAAAGAATAAAACTATCAGGGGCACAGCAGGTGCATAAAATACTCTGGTGGGAAGATCTAGGCCCAGAAAGGAGATAGGTCATAGCCATGAAACTCCTTTACTCCGTATCCCCCTGAGCAGACCTTCAAATCTAATGGAAAGGAAGTGATCACTTCATTTACGTTTCCTCACTTCTGTACCATTGCGCTGAACTTATCTGCCTGGTCTGTCTGTCTTTCTTATTAGGCTATACGCTTCCTGAGAACAGGGACATTGTGTGATGTAGCTCTAGCATCTCAGGGCACTGTCCTGGCCAGGTAGTTCAGTTGGTTAGAGCGTCATCCCCATACGCCAAAGTTGTGGGTTTGATCCCCAGGCAGGGCACATACAAGAATCAACTAATAAATGTATAAATAAATGGAACAAATCAATCTCTCTCAAAATCAATAAACAAAATTAAAAAACAAAACAAAACCAAAGAAACCTCAGTGCACTACGTTACCTTGTAGGCTCAATAAATTTTATCTTCCTTTCCTTATCTACCTTCCTTTGCCTTGTCTTCCCTTCCTCCCTTCTTCTTCTCTACCCATTCCGTCCTCTTAAGAGTGAAAGCTGCTAAACCACATGGAAAGAGAGCAACTGAAACCCAGGGACAACAATGAAAGGTAGGTGTCCCAGGAGAAAACAGGCCAGCACTGCCCACCTCCGCTGTGCTCAGAACACAAAGAAAACATGGCTCAGTCCAAGCAGCTCGCAGTCTTGTGAAAAGTGGAAAGAGGAGGCATCACAGATGGGAGCATGTCACTGCAGGCACCACGCGTGCAGCAGCATGCACAGCACACGGGAACAGCTGCGGGAGAGGAGCCCGTCTGCCTCTGAGCTGCACCGAGACAGGAAGTCGCGCAGTCTTCCATTCCTCCTCCAGTTGGCTTTGAGGACTGGTTATTTACCAGGTACTGTGTCAGGAACTTTCAGCGCATCATAGCTGGTTTACTTGTTATCATGGCAACCCTAAGTATATTTTATCATTTTCATTTTACAGATAAAACTGAGGCCTCAAGAGATGGCAGAGCTTGCCACATGGCTAATAAATGGAGGCTGGAACAAGGAACCTCCAGACCACATGCCTTGTGTTCTTCCATGTGTAGTCCACAGAGTACCTGGGAGATAATCCTGCTGGCCAAAACTCCTATTTCTGGACCCCACCTAAGAGGGTCTGAACCACAGGCACTGCATTTAGGAACCATTGTCCCTAAAGCCACATGGTTCTACACGGGACTCTGAAGTGGACAGGAGAACTACCAGGACATAGGTAGGAAGGGCTGCTGGGTCAAGATGTGAACTCTTGCCCTGGCCGGTTTGGCTCAGCAGTTAGAGCATTGGCCTGCGGTCCAGAGAGACCCAGGTTCAGTTCCCGCTAAGGGCACATACCTCGGTTGCAGCTTGTCCCCGACCCTGGTTGGTTGTGCGGGTGGCAGCCACTTGATGTGTCCCTTTCCCGTCGATGTGTCTCTCTCTCTCCCCCTCTCCCCCTCCCGCTCTATCTGAATAAAAAATGGAAAGAAAAAAAATGCCTTGGGTGAGAATAAAAAACAAAAGACGTGAACTTTTAAAAACAAGAGCAAATGCCACCTTGACCAGAGACCCAGGGGCCTGCGGAAGAACATGCTGTGGGAGAAGAGTGATGTACCAGCAGGTAGGGAGAGACACACAGCAGAGAAGCTGGGACACTGAGCTGAAGTCAGAGTGGACGATCGGTTGGAGAGTAGAAGGAAAGATATTATTTCCTCGGATTTACCACTTGACTAAACACTTTCATATAATGTCTGATTTAACAGCAAAACTAAAAATAAATAAATAAATCCACCTGAATGAGCATCTTGCAAGGGCCAGGTACTGCCCCGGGCGTTTGCATCGGGGCTCGTCTTCACAACAAGCCTGCCAAGCAGACACTTATTTCCATTACACGGCTAGGGGAGCCGAGGAGGAGCAAGTACCGAAGAGGCGTTAGGGCGAGGCCGCGAGGAAATGTGCTATGCACAGTCTCGCAGGCGAATCTAGGTCAGGACCTCGACTTCCTGCTGCAAAAATCAATGAAAGAACGTAGTAGCCTCCACGCAGTAACAAAATCCCAGAATATGAAGGAGAACTGATAAAGAGGGAGTCGTACAGAATCCTCTGCAAGACCACGTAGCTGGAGAAGGTTCAGAAGCGAGCTGCTGGCTGGAGAGAGGGATGAAGAGAAGGACATTCTAACATGCCCTGAATACCACCGGCAGGTAGAGACAGACAGGCCGGGGAAGAAAGCGGCCTAGTTGCCCCTTGGCTCGCGCCCTGCATCAAAGCACACCGTGATGGTTCTTTCTTATTTTTCTGAAAGCAGCATACACTTAGAGCAAACTTTCATCTGCAAGAAAAATCTCGAAACGCTACCTACCGTTCATGAGGGCATAGGTGAGAATCATTACGGAGTTGTTTAGAAAGCTATTTTCTTCATTGATGATCCGGAGAGTTGCCTTTTTATCTTCTTCTGAGGAGTCCTTTGATGTGATGCCAGCTGACAGGTAAATTATGACCATGTCTGTATCTAAACAAAAACACACAAAATGCTGCATTGGATTCTGGCTCAAGGCAGCAGGTTTCTCCATCACTGCCCCTGGACGGTCCCGCCCCAGGGACCCGCCCGGCCCACCGTTTCTAAGTCTTCCGGTTCGATGCCAGGGCTGCCGTCTCCCTGCTGCTGCTTCCTGTCCATCCTGCCCTTTGTGGGCAGCGAGGCCTCCCTTGTCCGCTGTCAGGGAGGAGGCTGCTCCTAATCCATTTACCAGATCAAAGATCTCCTTTAGGCACCCCTGGTTGAGACCATCCCAAATGGAAACCTCTCCTGCCTTCTGAAAATCATAATTCAGAACCTGATTTAATCTTTTCCTCGGTGACTCCAGGTCTTCACCAAGAGCATACATGGGGGTGGGGGTGGGGGGCTTTAAAAATGGTGGTTCTTCCAGGGGCTCTTGAGACACGTACGGTTCAATCCCCCTACACTCAGTAGCTCCAAGAACATATTTGTTTTTAAAACTCATCAGCGCAAGAGAGCCACCCAACATGGACACGGGAGCTCTGCCACCCACAAGCTGTGTCCGGGGGACGGGGGCAGATTCTTAACCTCTCCACGCCTACAGTACAGCACCGTCCACAGCATGGGCATGACGGCTCGTACTTCTGGTGCTGTGACGCCGACAGGCTAGCCTGCTAACGAGTGGAAGCAAAGGGGCAACAGCAACTAGAGGGCAAGAGACGAGAGAAAGAAACTGTCACACCCACAAAAACTATCATCTACAGACACAAAAACTAAGCTCTCAGATCGGTGTGAAGTCGCCCCTATGCCAAGACTGAAACTACCCTCCGAGGAGAGCCAATGGGTAGACTGAGAAGTCACCCTACGGACCGTGAGGGTCTGTGCACTCCCTTCGCAGCTGCACCGCACCTCGCTGCTGTTCATCCCACGGGCTGCAGTGAGCACTGCACCTGGACTGTGACATCCCTGCCTTAAACTAGGTGACGCTATTTCCCAGTGTTGGAAACACACACCTGTGAAGACCTCACTTAAAGTCTCACACTACAGAAAGAGAGCAGGGGGTGGGGGGTACAGACACACCACGAGGCTGTTCTAAGCAGCAGGAGACAACCTGCCGCACCGTGGCACAGGTGCCATGTGGGATAAATTCGTGGACACACCTGTAAAACTGAGTTCTGTATTTAGCATTAGGATCGAATATGCTGTCACTAGGAGCCGGTTTTAGGGCACAGGCCCGTATCTGGGAAGGCCTGCAGCCCCTGGGTTGCTTTAGCAGCCAGTGTGTTTTCTTTCCTTCCTCGCAATAAATATCCATTTTATAAACAACCTCACTGTCTCCGCCTCGTCCCTGACCCCATTCCTTCCCTATCCTCAATCAAAATTATTTTTCTATTCTTAGATACTAGACCTGCCGAATTTGATCTGATTATTTTTTTTTTTACTTATTAGGATATTCCCTCTAGTCACTCCGTTAGAGGAACTTCAAACCCTGTGATTAGTAATGTTAGGGCTGAGTAATTATAGGGACTCGGGCAGAGCAAGGACACAGCCTACACCCAGAAGAAAATGCAATGGTAGACTCTCCATTTGGCGAGCCCCTGTGTAAGCCACCTGCACGTCTTAGGGTCAATATCCAGAAGGAAAGAGCAATTCAACTTTGGACGCTGCCCCTGCCAGCCGACCACCACTCCTAACCACATTATCCCTTCTGCTATAAAGTGACCCACCCGCCAATGACCTCAGTAACCACCCAAATGTACTGATAGTATCAGTCACAGATCTACCATAAGTCTGAAAAAGAGCCAGCACTGGATAAAAATTTTAGATTCTTCTGACTGGAGCAAAGCTACAATAACTTATGACACGTAGCTTCTATTCATATGGCTACGAATGGGGGACAGATTCTTTGCTTTCACACACACAACAATCCTCCAGGGTAGGTCAGACTCATTAGAATAAACCCACCCCATGACCTTCAAACAGTCCCAGGTACAGAGGAGGTGGAATGAACAGGAGCAATGTGTCGTGCAGGCTCCTAAGAGGAGGGCACAGACCATCACTGTTACAGCCAAGGTCAGTAGTGGTCCTTGGCCGTATTTGGGCTTGAGGTCAATGTAGGATGTCTGGGGCATCTGCTCTCGGTTCGCTGGAAGTCTCGTAGGAAACTGAGTATCATAATCACCACAGCTACATTTATTTAATATTTATGATGGAATCCTGGAACTTATTATCACCCCCAGGGTGTGATGAGGAAGCCAGGCCTGGAGAGATCAAATAATTTACACAAGTTCACATAGGTTAGAAAAATTTCAGAGTAGGAATTTGAAACCACATTGGTCGAAACCCAAAACCGGGGGGTCCAAGAACAGGGGGTCCAATGCTTCCCAGCAAAGCAACCTTCTGCTTAAGCGCAGTGCAGGAAAACTTGTCAGGAGAGGTTACCGAGGTCTCTGCTCAGTTTTAAAGCTGGAACAAATGTCAACGTTTGAAAATCAAGGCATTTCACATAAAAATCCAGATTTCTAGCTTCTCTTGAAACAGAAGATCTGGCGACACCGGGCAGGTTTTCTGGCTGGTGACCCAGGCTGAGTTGCAGGGCAGCTGCCCTCCTGATGGAGCACATGCTCTCGAGCTAAGTGTGCTCCGCAAACAGTCCTCGTCACCTCACCTCGGGCTTCCTAGAGTCACGCTCACCGCCTGGTCACAGCCAGGCTGACATGTTTCCCCATTATTTAAGGAGTGCAATATTCAAAACTGGACTTGAACGCTGGCTTGGCGGCTGAAGAATCAAGTGGAAAGAACACTTCTACTGAGAATGCTGACAGGTAGATGGCAGCCGGAAGACGGCACCTACAGGTAAATGGCATCCACCAGCTAGCCAGTCCTCCTGAATAACTGCCTCGTCCACTGGCCTCTCTGAATCATGGGAAACTTGACACACACTCAGCCAGCCTGCAATATTGGTCGTGAATAGCTGGCCCTTCTCAAGGCTGGTTGGCAGAATTCTAAGATGACCCCCGATGACAGAAAGCCTTGCATAACCCCCTTGCCTCTTGAGAGTGGGTCTGACCAGTAATTTGCTTCTAACTAACAGGCTATGGCAAAGGTGATGGAGCAATTTTGCAGATGTAATTAAGGCCTCTAATAAGTCAATCACAAGGGAGAGCAATCTGATTAAATAAAAAGGGAGGGAGGGTTTCATTAGATGAAAAGACCTTTCAAGCCTTCCCTGAAGTCAAGGGTTGAAGAGGAGATGTCCCCTTGAAGAAGCAAGTGGACATGTATTTTACAGTTGCGAGGAAATTATGTCAACAGTTGAGCTTGGAAGAGGACTCCAAACCTCGGAGGAGACCACACACCTGGCTGATAGCTGGACTGCAGCCATGTGCAATCCTAAGCAGAGAACCCAGCTAAACGGTACCTGGACTCCTGACCCATGGAAACTGTGAGCTAATAATAATAAACTATGAGATAATAATATACAGAAACACAGTCCAGCTGGTGTGGCTCAGTGGTTGAGCGTCGACCCATGCACCAAGAGTTCGCCGGTTCGCCCTGGCCAGTTTGGCTCAGCGGTTGAGCATCGGCCTGCGGACCAGAGAGTCCTGGGTTCGGTTCCTGCTAGGGGCACGTACCACACACAAAAAAAGAGTTTGCCGGTTCAATTCCCGATCGGGACAAATGCCCAGGTTGTGGGCCGGATCCCCAGTGGGGGGCATGCAGGAGGCGGCCAATCGATGTTCTCTCCATCAATATTTCTCTCTCTCCCTCTCCCTTACTCTCTAAAATCAATAAAGGAGAAAAAAATTAAAACACAAAACTAATATGCCATCTACCATCGTTAACTATAAAATTATAGTGGCTTCCTTCATGTGCCAGGCATTTACCAATGCTGTCTTAGTTTTAATGCAGACACAAGGAAGAGCTTAAAAATATATTCTTTAAATGTATCTCAAGTATATATTCATAAAAAAAAAAAAACCCTACAAATAGATTTTCAAGTACAAAAGCGAAAATGACATAGATTCCTTTTAGTAGTTTCAAGGCACGTGTCTTATTTCAAAAATCCTTTCCTTTAGCTTACATCCCAAGTCCAGATTTCCTTTAGTACATGAAAATTAAATCAGAGTGCCTTTGTACATTTGAAGGGCCATGCTCATCTAAATGACAGCTGGTTGGAGGGTGGAGGATCAAGGCAAGAACCCCTCGGCCCGTTTATGGCACACGTGCACAAGGCAATGAGGCAAGGTTGACAATTAGCATAAAAAAGAATCTGGATATTCCCCTGGGAAGTAAATGGGATATGTTCTTAATAAAGGGGCAGAAAGAGGCTCTAGGAGTGAAGAAATTGTGCAGACTGAGTACGTTGAATTGGAGGAGAAATAATCTAGTAAGGTTCTAGCATTAGATGACCATTATGACAACACAGGAACATGTTATCCAAAGTCGATTAAAAAAAAAAAAAAATCTCTCTAGACATGGTTGTGTGATCCATTTATAGCATATTCCTATGACCGCCCGTTATCCGCCAGTTTATCAGTCCTCTGAGAAAACACACGTACTCGCTTGGAACTTCGTGTTATTGTTTGTGCTTCGAATCAGCTGAAAGGCCTTTTGAAACCCCACGGAGTGTTGGGTGGGACTGTCCAGAGACTTGACGCTGCTAACGAAGGTGGACATTTTCCGCTTTGTCTCACTGGTGGCTGGAGACAGGAACGTCTTATAGCACTGGTCAAGGGAGCAGGTCCTGACCGTGTCTGCCACAGTCAACACAGAGATCTGGGAGAAAGAAAGAGGAAACTCATTATCCTACCATGGAAAGGTGGGTTTTCGTTTGTTTCTGTTTTATTTTTAATTCCAGAAGAGTCCAAGGAGGGAGTAGGCAAACAAATTTCTGAGAGGTTAAAAAATAAATGCCTGGAGGCACACATCTATCAAGTTTGAAAAGGATTAGTTAAGGATTGGTAAGAGGGAGGAACCCTAGAGTTTGTTTTTGTTCCAAGATGAAGTCAGCAGTATGGTGTTCACATACAACATTTTTAAAAAAGTATTGCATACAGAGAAAAGTCTCAGAAAGTACTAAAAATCTTGATTTTTCCAACTGGAGGTGGGGTGAGGGTAAAGATATGGGGCATGTCTTTTAATCAACTACATTAGTGCCCGGCCGGTGTGGCTCAGTGGTTGAGCCTCAACCCATGCACCAAGATGTCACCGGTTTGATTCCCGGTCAGGGCACATGCCCAGGTTGTGGGCCTGATCCCCAGTGAGGGGTATGCAGGAGGTGGTCAATTGATGTTCTCTCTCATTGATGTTTCTACCTCCCCTCCCCTTTCTGTTTCTCTCTAAAATCAATAAAGAAGATAAAAAAGATTAAACAACTACATTAGTGACTAAAATCTTAGGAGCTGGAAAAGTCAAAATGATGAAGGGACAAATTGTGCCCTGGCCATAGATTAGCATTAGCTGCAAACACACCCGTCTCTGAGGCGCCCTAGAGATTCGTGAACCTCCAGCAGCCTCCCCTCCCAGCAATCTTCAAACCAAGTCAGCCACCACCAACACCCAGGCCCTCGCCCTTTTGCTCCTTGTAACTTCCAGCGTGAAAGTCGCAGCTAATTAGAAGTCTGAACAGGAGGCATAGAGGAAGTGTGGCCTCGGCTGGGTGGGGTAGTTTTAAAAGAGATTGGGAATCAGAGTTGGCAGTTGCTTTCTCAAATACTGGAGTGAAAACTAAATCACTCTCCCTTCCCAAAATCATTTTAAAGATGGATTTAAAAATATATATCATAGCCTTGGCTGGTTTGGTTCAGCAGTTAGAGTATCGACCCACAGACCTAAGGGTCTCAGGTTTGATTCCCAGTCATGGGTGTGTACCTGGGTGTTGCAGGTTTGATTCCCGGCCCCAGCTGGGGTCATGCAGGAGGCAGCCAATTGATGTGTCTCTCTCACATCAATATTTCTTTCTCTCTCTCTCCCTCCTTCTCTTCCACTCTACCTAAAAATCAAAGAAAAAATATCCTCGGGTAAGGATTAACAACAACAACGAAATTATACACCAATCATAAAACACAAAGTGCTTTTAAAAAGGTTTTCAAGGCAGATCCAATGCTTTGCGGGCCACTGGGATAACGGTCACCTTATCGTGTTCGTCGATGGCGCTGAGGATGACCTGGGCAGCATCCTTGGCGATCTGAAGCTGGGTGTCGGTGACGGAAGCCCCGTGGTCCAGGATCACTACTATGTGCTTTGACTGCGGCCGGACTGTAGAGACGTAGATGGGCCTAGGAGGAGAAGTTCTCCGGTCAGTCCTGGGGTCAGTGCAAGGCCTCCCCCAACACAGCTGTGAACAGATGTGCGGGCATGCTGGTGTCTCTGTGTTCTCCCAGATGGCATGAGAGTGGAGAGCAGCACAGAAGGAGGAACTACTCTGGGGCACTGACAACAATACCTCAAGACCACGGTGTGTGTCTGCAGGCCAGGAATTGGTAACGTGTGTCTTCCAGAGATTAAAGCAACTGGGAGACAGTTTTAAGCAGCAAATCCTTTGGAAGGCTGGCTTTTCCGCAGAAGTCAACCCTCTCAGCTGCTGGTGGGGATGCTGCCCATTACCCAACATCCTGCTACAGGAAGTGGGACAGGCGGCCCCTGTAAACTGTGAGACAGCATCAGAGGGAGAGAGAGGTCTGCTCGCCAGGGCCGGGTCCTCCCCGGCACACACAGAGCGGGACTGTGCGAAAACCCGGGCAGCCTATAATCTGTGAGCATGCTGAGCGGCTCTGAATAGCAGGTTTGGTTTCTCTCCCCCAAGACAAAGGCTACTGCTAAGAGGGCCCTTTCCTTTCAGAGCTGAAGCAATTCACACAGGTCAGCCACCAAAAGGCCCCTTATCGAAGCATTTAAAACCGTGCCATCGAATTTGTCCAAGCCCGTGATAGCCACTCTTCTCGCCAGGTTTTTGTTTGCCAACATGAAGAAAGGGGGAGGGGGTGCCGTTCCAAAGGAGAAGTGCCCCCCATCAAAGCAGCCTGTGGCCAGTGTGCGGCACAGGAAGGGCTGTGAGAAGAGGTTTAATGAGTCTCTATTCACAGTTTTAAAGCTGGAACAAATTAGGGGGAGCTTAGGAAAGCAAATCAGCCTCAAGAGAACACTCTCCTTTATTGACACCCCTAAAACACTAGATTTTTTTTTTTTCCCCTGGGAAACGTTAGATGCCAGTTGAGTCACAAAAAGCTCAGGCACAGATTTAAAAATATAGGCAAAGTAGCCCAAATCCTCCACCTCTGGCCAACTTGACACCAACTGGTCTCAAGCCCAAGTCCTGCATTAGTATTAATGGGCCACTAGTCGATATCACTGAGCCAGGAGGGGAACGGGATGAAAGAATCCGGAGATGTGGCTACAGAAATGACAGCGGGAACAGAAAAGAAGAAAATCCAACCATCCCGACACTGACAACCATGTTCAATGTCGAACCTTTTAGGTCCTCCAAGCTAGGTGAATAGATTTTTTTTTTTTTTTAAAGGACACACCTTCTTCTTTCCAACTCAACTCACATCAATAATAAGCAGAATATGTGTTCACACTGTCACAACAAGTTGGCAAAACCTGCTTGGGTGGGATATATAAATAGTAACATCTTTACAGTTGAGATGCATGAAACCTTCCCAGTGTAGGTGAATGTTGCTTTGGGACAAGGTCCTGCTTGTGCTTTGGGACTACTACCCCCCCCCCCCCCCCCCCCCGTGAGTCGTTAAAAGCAGCATGCCATCAAATTTCTCTTCTGAGAAGCAAATGAAAATTAGGCGGAGAGACGCTTAAGTGATGGTTCACTTTGCCTCTGAGAAGTGGGCGTCTTGCACCCACTGCAGAGGTTCGGGCGTCAAACATCTGACGGTGCAAAGGGGAAACCGTGGGGAGTCCCGAGGCGAGGATCTCTGCCTAAGGGGCTCTCTACACTGACGAGACTTACTGTAAAAATGGTCTCTACGTCACTGCCCTCCTGGCTAAGTGGTAGAACCTCAAGTCACCTCCGCATTAATGATGGATGTTTCACCCACTGTTTTCTAGACAACTTCCACACTTTGAGGGGCTGAGACTGAGTGCACATTTCAAGAGGACGGCCAGGCACAGTGTCAGGGAAAGGACACCTGAGCATCACGACCTCTGGTCTGAGACATGCTAGCGGGTCGTCCGGGGCTGTACTGCGGAGAAGGAACGACCACGTACACCCTCCCAAAGGTGCCCGAGGCTCAGAACAGCTTGGGCACATCAAGCCATTTAATGTCTTTAGTCATTGTCTTATTTTATTTGGCTTGTTAGACGGTTCTAGAAAAGCGCTGCCGCTTTACCGTTTGCCCTTCCCTAGCATCTCCACATCCACCCGATGTTCGAAGGCGGACTCACTGCGGAACAAGTGCGAGTTTCTCGAGCCACAGCCGAGGGGCAGGGCCCTGCGCGTCTCACACCGATCGCTCGCAGGCAGTAATTAACACTTTAGCGAGGAAGTCAACATACCTACTGCGATGCTCGTAGCTGCCCTTGCACCGGAACTTGTGCGCTGGGAAAACAGTGAAAATTCCCTCCTCCGAACTGAAATACTGCCACTTAATTCCAGGGTTGGATTTCAGGTTGTCTGCAAGAACTGGAGGAGGGGGACATGAAATATAACCGCCGCATCCACAGGTGCGCGGGCGCCACTCCGCAGGCATCTGTTTTGCATAAACTGCTTGTAGTACGAAGAAATCCCACTAGATATAAGGCTGTAAATTTTCTGCTAAACATTCGCTTTCTGTCCCTTGAAAAAATACCCCACATTAGAAAATGTAATGAACGTTTCAGTCGAGTGAAGCTATTAATCTTAACATTGAGTGGTGACACTCTTTGTCCTGGATTATTTTTTCCAGCATGAAGGATTCATTTATTTGTACGCATCCCTCCCCTCACTGGGCTGGTCCCTGTTGGGCCAGCGTACACTTACTGGCTTGGGGTACATTCTCTGACTGTGGAAAACAGTGATGTTAATAGGCCTAGTCTCCAGAGGGACGAGATGTATGACCTTGACCTTGCTTACTTCATAATGAGGGAAACAGCACAGATGGTACTTGAAAGGCCAGAACCGTATCATTCAATGATAGCTCATGGAATGAGTCCAACATGCCAGCACTGGAGAGAGGCTTTCCTTTGTGTCATCTCATTTATTCCATACAACAACCCTGCAGTCATTATTCTCTGCTTTGGCGTTGAGAAAATACATGCCGAGAGCTTAAGCGATTTGTCTAAGGCTTCATCAGTAAATAGTCGAGTTGGAATCCAAGCCTGGGTCTCCAGGTTCCTGTCTTCTTTATATCATGCAGTACTGATCTGCAGCGGGAGTGACAGCCACCTCACGGTGTGCAATCTTGTCCCCAAACCTCATGAAGTCTTTTCTACCTGCTCTCCCTGGAATCCGAGTTCTCTTCCTTCCCTGATGCCCTTTCGCTCTGTTCCACACCAACTCAGTTACGTATTATACACTTACTACGTGTGGGCTACTGTGTTTCATGCTTCAAACTCTACGAAGATGTCCAAAAATCAAACCCTACTGTAATAACCAATATACCAAAAGAATTACATACATGGAAATGGAGCAATTCAACAGAGTCGAGGAGTCTAAAAAAAGCCAAAAAGAAAGAAAAGCGTGAGATACCTTTGGGAAAACCGCATATAAAGCTCTGAATGCCTCATGGCCATCCTTTGGTCAGGCCAGGGGTCAGCAAACTTCTGTGAAGGGCCAGATTACCAATGATTCTGGCTTTGCAAATCACATGCTCTCTGTCCACTCTGCCACTGTGGTGTGAAAGCAGCCAAGGACACCGTGAATGGACGTGGGTGTGTGCCAATCAAAGCTGACTTACAAACATCAGTGGCAAGCCTGATTTGCCAAGGTGTGTTACCCTTCAGCAGTGACCCTGCCCGATGCACACCAAGGGGCTGTAACACATTTTACTCTCACACAAATCCTGGGAGAAAAGAGTGATCATCCCAAGTTGCAGAAAAGGAAACAGGTTTTTGACCCGCGTGAGGTTTTAGTGGACAAGAAAGGAGTCGATCCAGTGTGTGACCACAATACCATCCATTCTCCACTCTGCCGGGAGACATTCTTAAGGTCATCACCTGGACTCAGGCGACCACGCTGTCTCCTGAGATGGTGGCAGATGTGAGTGTGTGTGAACATGGAAGAGGTCTTTCCTCCGCCTCATCTCCTGGGGGTCTGAGCCTCAGCCTTGATCTCATATTAGCACAGTTCTCCAGGCAGCCCTGCCAACCCAGCAGTAAAAAGGCAAACATTGCCTTTGGAAGTAAAGGAAAGCTCAATGACCTCATTTAAAAATAACATCTGTAACAATAAACAGGCTACAATGAGACTATTAAAAGGGGAGCCATTGAGAGCAAGAATGTTTTAAAAATAAATCACAATTCGTACAGGGCATGATACATTTAGTCTCACCACAAACGTCATCCTGGTTCCCTATAATCATTGCAGCACGCGAGCTTAAGTATCAGGCAAGGTTCCTTAAATCCTCCCGCTGAGAACTCCTTTGGCATCTGATTAAATTTCATCCATTATTCGGTACTAGCAGAAGATGATGGATATGATGGTAATGAGGACCCCAGAGCCCAGAAGCAATCTATCATTGTGGTGTGCACCCCAGGAGGGCCCCTCACTGACCTAGATGTGAGGTGAATGAGAGCCCTATTATCCATGCAGGCACCCCAGAGAGGGCTTCTCCATTCGTATGAGTCAGTGAGGTGTTCTGGTCACTGGAAAACTTGGGCTGGGGTCCTGCACACTCACTCTGTCTTCAGAAATGCTGGACACCGTCCAGGAAAAAGCTGGGCAAATGCCCAGCAGTCAGCTCATGATGCACAGCGTTAGGCTGTGTGTCCATGGCCAGGTCCTGTATCTGTCAGAGCTGCTCTGCACACCCACCTCAGACAGACACCGTGAAGGAGGCGCTAAACGGTGCTTTCCCTGAAGCTTATTCCCAAGACGGAAGTCACCGTGCCCTCTGCATGCCTCTAGTATCTTACCTCTTCCCACCTTCTAGTTAGTACTATTACTGTTCGGGTAACTTTTCTCCACCCTGGATTCTAAGATCCTCGAGGGTGAGGTCTCTATCTGAGTCATCTCTGCACCCCTGGGCAGAGTCCCCCACCCACCCCCGTTCTTCCTACATCTAGGCACCCACTCGTCGAGAGCTGCAAGGTGCTACCTGCTACCTGCAGAACCAGGCTGCACAGGGGCTGCCTGGCACTGCCTCGGCCGTTTCTGATACTGGTGCTTGATGGATTCTAAAATCTTACTTCTCTCTACTGGCAAATCCAATTAAAATAAACGAAATGTTGTGACTAAGTCAATGCAGAGCAATGATCATTCTTAATACGTTTTAAAATGATAAACATTCCCTTCTCCCAACACCACCACCAAAACAACAGGTATAGGACAGACAGGTGACTGGACGGCTAAAAAGTATGCTCGTTTGAAGATTTCATAAGCTCATATATGTCAAAATGTACCCTCTGTATGGTGCAAACATGGAAGTTTATTGGATGTCAATGATACCTCCGTAAAGCTGATGTGAAAATAGTAAAAATGTATTAAGCATGACATAAACCAGTTTTATACATGGTATTCCTGTTTTCAAAATTGCTCTGGGTTTGTCATACCCCTTTTATAGATGCAGATTCTGCTCAAAGCCACCAGGGCAGGGTGATGACTTGATCTAGGCATGTCTGTCCAAAGCCCTTGCTGTTTCCAGAATGCTATAGTGCTTCTATATGTCGATAAATACATGCTGAGATGAGTTAGCAATAATCAGATCAAAAGCACACTGAGTATTTTTTGAGAGGCAGAATAAATGTATGTAAACATGTTGTTATTTCTCAATCAAAATAATCGGTTGCATTTGTTTGTAAATATACAACGTAAATACATACAATTAAGGAGACACTGCAAGAAGGAAGGATTTCACAATTGAAACGAAACATAAGGCTAAAGTAGCATTTAATCTTGTGAGGAAAAACTGCTGAATTGTTAAAAATGGCACACACCAGCTGGGTAGTCCGATGTCATGGGGTTCACTCCTGACCCCACAGGCTGGCGTAGCTGGAAAGGGGCACAGACACAAGCCACAGCTTAGGAGGCAGAGTCAACAGTGATCACAGCACTCATGACTCTGAGAGACATCTAATGGAGATCACATTTTAGATAGTAGAAGGAGTTTTTATTGAATTGGAAAACTATATAGCTGAGACCTCTCAATTATTTTGTAGGCGTCTTTTTCTTTTGCGGTGCAAGCCTAAGTAAGCCATTTGGACGCAGGCCCAATGCTATTCTGCACTTTCAATTTAATTCAGGTTGGTACTTAAGAACTAGAAGGAAGCCCTGGCCGGTTTGGCTCAGCGGTTGGAGCGTCGGCCTGCGGTACAGAGAGACCCGGGTTCGGTTCCCGCTAAGGGCACGTACCTCGGTTGCAGTTTGTTCCCGGTCCTGGTTGGTCGTGCGGGTGGCAGCCACTCGATGTGTCCTTTCGCATCGATGTTTCTCTCTCTCTCCCTTCCTCTCTCTCCCTCCCGCTCTATCTGAACAAAAAATGGAAAAATGTCCTCGGGTGAGGATAAAAAAAAAGAACTAGAAGGAAGACCTGATAAATCAGAATGAACTGGGAATAAAAAGCCACAGGTTGAAGTGCCATCTCTAAGACTGGCAAGCCCTCTGACCTGAAATTTACTTTCCATATGGCATGTAAAGGCATCTTTCTAAAATGGAAATCAAATCCCACCATGGATTTGCTTTAAACCCTTCAAAGGTTTCCCACTATACCACCCCTAGTACTAAATCCAAACTCAGTAAGGCCCTACACCATACCATCCGGCCCTTCCCACTCCAGCCGCCAAGTCCCCCTTTTCAACTCGCTACACTGTACACATCAAGAGCTAGTTCCTTCAGTTTTGCAAATGTGACCAGCTCTTGGCACAAGGTGATCCTTAGGTCTGGAATAATTCTTTTCACATTCTCTTAGAGACTTTCCCTCAACCTTTATCCTCTCTCAGAGCATCTAGTGTTTTCCTCCATTGCAAAAATGGGTAGTGTTCATCGTATTTATTTTTGACGCTGTTTGAGTCAAGTCTGTCGCGCAGAGGAGCGGTGAGCTCCACGAAGGCGGGAGCCAGGCCAGGGCCGCTCACGTTTCCAGCCTCCCGGCACCTGCCTGGTTTTCAGGAAGCGCTCAGCCAGCCTTTGCTGAGCGATCGTGGTCACGGCTGGCTCTTCACCTGCTTCCCCCAGTTTGGACAAGGTGTTCCCAAAGACCCTCTTTAGAAACCAAAAGAGAAAAGTAGTAAGAGGGCAAAGACTGGAGGCTAATAGGAGGGAAGTACACAGATTTACAACTAGATTTAATCAAGTTTATGCAAAAAAAAAAAAAAGAGCGCCTTTACTTCCTATTGACGTAGGAGCTGTAGGTCAGCACTACGCGGAACTAATAGTGACCCAAGACCATACACGATGTCCAAACAGTACCAAGAAACACTCAGATGAGATTGATGGAGAAACTTAACATGGGCATTCAAAGAATGAAAAACTCTCTGATGGCAGCTTAT